TATATATAAGTTGGGTAAATAATTGGAATCATAAAATCATACAATATGAATCAGCTTAAATCTCATCATAAATTTAATTTTATTTATTTATTCCAATTTAATCTAATTCCTCCACTATTTAAACCTCATTCTAATATGTCATCATTTACTCATTCATATTTTCTTTATTTATTATTACATTTCCCTTTCATCATATTATTAATTTATTTAAGTGACTGTTAATTAATTAAAAATGCTCATACAAGCTCCTATCCCTCGAACTAGATTCGCTATAACCCCCACTAATGTTAGACCTATTCATATTTGTCAAGACAAGACTCCTACTAGACAATTTTCCAATCATCATAACATTTTCAATTTGACATAAAAAGCAGAAGAAAAATTGCATATTCGACCACTCCTTGAAAATAAAAACCTTTAATCTATCGTTATCAAACAAGAAAACAACAATAGAGCTCATGGCAACTCCTTCTCTCAAAACTAATTCAATAATAAAGAAATGCAAACTTAAATTTTAGAATTAACTAAGTAAAAGGATCATATGTCTTAAATTTTATCAGATGCCATTCGAAAAAGCAATATACTCTAAAAATAGTTAGATGTACTCTATCCTATTTTAATTAGAAACTTTAAGGTGAAAAAACTGAATAGGCACTTTAATTTTAAGTCAATTTAGATTAATTTCAAGAAGAAATCACCAAATTAACCAATAGATTAGAAGACTTAATTATTGAAAACTCATAACTTCAAGAATCCTATTAGAATCAGCAATTTTACATCAATTAATTAGAATATTAAGAAAATGATTAATTTAACGTCACTTAATAATTCGGATAGATGTGAAATTAGTATTAAATTGATTTATACTGTTTCATTTTTATTTTGTTACTTTTAAACTTTTTAAAAATAACTCTTTATAAGAAGTCTGATAATTTGTATCTAAAACATTAACACCTTGTTATTTCCTTGTGGATGTGAATCCTTGTGGAGATAATGACTTTTTATTTCTTGAACTACTAATATTGAGAGTGGCTAGATGATAATTTGTCAGATACAATAATGAAGACTATTATTTTCTTTTTGTTTTCTAGATTAACTACGTCCAGTTCTGAGTTCTTACTGTTTAGAATCTTTTCTTTCAGTCAAATATTTAATGACTTCTTACAATTTTGTTTTGTGCATAGGGGATATGTTTCCAATATTGACAATAATTTCACTATTTTAAAATGAAAAGAAATACCGTAAAGCTTAATTGCTTTTGATTAATCTTTAAGAAGCATCTCTAAATTCTTCTTCATTATTTTTATAGGTTTGCTATTCTTTATCAATTTATTAGAGTAAATTTTAATTAATTTATTAAGTGTAAAGTAAGGATTTATTTAATTCCTCCTAAATTGATATTAAATTAAAATTTACACATTGTTTCTTTAAATCAAAAATAGTTTTTTTAAATTTATTGGAAGTTTCTTGATGTGAGACTGTTAAGAGTTAAATCTCTTATTGAGAAGAGTTTAGTGCTTCAACCAATAATTTATTATTAGTTTCAAGGCTTTGATTCTGTAATTAGAATTCATTCAATTTTTCAGATACTCTCATCATATAAATATGAATTTATTACTTGATTTAAATAACCATTTTACTTATAATTATTTAATTCTCTGTGACATAGAAGCATAAACTTAATTTTCAAGATCTCTAAAAATAACAGAAAATAAATCTCCAATATTTAGAGAAGCATTGTCTCTTTAAGTAGATACTTCACTTTCAGGTAAACTATAAATAATTGAGAGATCTTTATTGATTCTTTTATTATTTTAAGAATCTATATCATCTAGATCACTTCCAATTAAATAATTCTCATAACCCTTATGCTCAGCATTATCTTAATGCAACAATTGCAAGAAAACACTCAATTCTTTTGACAACTCTGGTTTATTTAACATAATTCTGTTATTTTATTAATAAATATTTCTTTATAATTTATTTTAGCTGTTCTGTAACATGAAATCATTTCTTATATTAGACATCTTATACATCAATTTAAATAAACCTAAATGATTTCTATGTTTACTCTGCATTAATATAAAAATATAAAACTTTTCTAATACAATTAAAAAATGTTTAATTAGTAATACAGTTTGGATTAAAGCAATTCTTAACATTCCTCTTAACAATCATAAACATTTTTGGCAGTTCCTCGTTTAATTTAATAAGAGATTCAAGCATATCAAGCTGGTGTATAGAAGCATGTTAATTTTGAAGACCCTAATCTATTATAAAAGAGTGAACATAAAGAGAGTTTAGAGGAAGGTGAAATCTTTGGTTCTAGATTGTCAATGGATAGAGGAGGGTTTAATAAAATTGATGAAGTAGAAGAAAATTATAAATCCTTAAAGTTATTTCAAATAGAAATGCAAAATATAAATGGTAGAAAGCTCATTTCAAAAAATAGTAGAAAATTTAGTGATTAAAGTGATATGGGTTTACGTAAACACAGTGAACAATTAAGAAAAGCTTCATCATCATATTTTCCTAATCCTTCTCCTAAATTTAAAGTTTAAGGAAGTCCACTTTTACCTAAAGGAGACTTATTCTCCATTCCAAGATGGCCTAAAAGATGGTTTTACATTATTAAATTTTTGAGCAAAATTATGTGTGTTTAACCAAACATTCTAAAATAATCACATTTAATGCTAATTGATGATAAGGCTAATATTATTGTTCAGAATTGTTTTATCTTTAATCCTTACACACCAAAGATTTTGTGGACTCGTTATATCATTCATATAATCTATATGTTAGGATTTATAATAATCTTCTGGGAATTTGCTTTCAATGAATCCTAAGAGTTTTTCTTAGCTTTTTGTAATTGATATCAATTTATTAAAGTTTGCTTCTCAATCTTTGAGAGTTTTAGTAACTATTTTATTGGAGTGTACATAGACGAAATGTATACAGAGAATAGATGGAGGATTGCTCAATAATACATATACCAAGATCTTTTATATCTAATAAGTTGCCTTCTTAAATAATTTGCGTCTGATTATTTTAGTAAGATTTACTAATAGTTTTTTATTAGTTTTGTTATTATTATTGAGAGTTCAAAGAATATACATGATTAATACTAAATTAACATACTATTATCTGCCAATCTTAGTAATACATTCATTTTCAACATTATATTCTAAACTTTGTGAAGATTAGTAAATTTATGTGCATAATTAGATTTTCAGAAAGTAATATTTCAATCTATATAACTTCATTTCAATGGACAATATTTTAATTGACTAATAGTGGAAATCCATTTGATAATTATATAGATATTAATGGATCCACAAATATACCTTAAAGAATACTTTCAATTATTGCTACGATTGTTGGGTATTTAGTTACAATATATCTAATAAAATAATTGTTATAATATAAGCCTCAATAGAAATACAAGATTAGTGCTTAACTTAGTTAGAATTTATAGAGATATTAAAATAGAACAAAATTAGAACCTATTGATTTAAGTGAATTAAGACCTGATTTATAATATCAAATGAGATAAGAATTATTTATGCCATTATTGTAGCATTTACCATTTACTAAAGTATTTTTAGAAGCCTTATCTCAAAAATTATAAACATAGACTTATCCTCATGGAACAATATTACATCAATAATATTAAGTTATGAATAAATTGTTCTTTTTAATGAAGGGAAACTTTGCTTAATGTATTGGTAATAAAGTTTTAATGAAAAACTAATTTCCTATATAATATTTCTATCGTTAAATTCAATGTCCTTTGAGTCTTAAGTGTTTAAGTGAATCACTTATAGCTCATGTTGATATTAATGATTTTTTATAGTTGATTAAAATGCACAATCAAGATTTCTAATAATTCTGTATGTTAAGAGAACATACTAAAGAAGTTTGTCCTTGTTGTGGATATAGAAATCATACATTTAATAAATGCAAACATGTTTTTTATGTTCCTAATTTCAAAGAACTCATTCTTATTCACAATACATCTGAACCAAATGATAGAGTAAACTATTATAGAGATAATGGCAGAAATAGAATTAATTCTTTATTAAATAAGAATCTTATATGCATTACAGCCATTAGTTTTGCTATTACTAATAAAATATCTTCAGAAACAGATTTAACTAACGAAGTCATGGGAAGATTGTAAGGAAGCACTAATAACTTTGAAGATTCTATTTTAAATGACTTTTAAGATGAAAAATCATCTCGTTATTCATTGTATCAAAAACATGGAACTGTTGAAGTTCCTAAAACTATTAATTCACCTTAAAATACCTTTAGTAGTTAGACTCATCAATAAAGTAGTATGCCTCCTATTAAATTAGAAGAAAAAGAATCCTCTCATAATAGTAGGAAATTTGTACATAAACATGTAGATTATTCTCATACTTAAAATTCGATTAAAGTAAATTTGGTTAAATCTACTAATTCTAATGAATTATAAGTTAAACGAACTTAAAAAAATAGATAAACAAGTTCGTCAAGTTCGTTAAATAAAAAGATGCAATCGACAAGTATCATGTAGTAGCCTAAATCATAAACAGGTTCTATAATACCAAAGTAAGAAGAAAATGAGGATAATTTGGATTAAGTATGTAGTTATGAATATTATTATCCTTCTTATAATATCGAAAATATTGCAAATGCTTTAAATCATAAATTAATGAACAAAAGCATATCATTTGTTAATTGATTATATTAGATTTATTTGTTTAAAAACTTAACAGTATATATAATTATATTATGATTACTAAAATTAAGTAATTTATTAATGACAATAATGCAACTCAAGCAATAAATAAAGTCATTTTAGCATTGTCTGATTTGAAACTTATTCTTAATGATACTTAATTCTTGTCATAACTTGAAATTAGCAATCGACTTAGACAATTTTTTCTTAATGATCAAATTAAAGTAGAGATATATTAATTCTTAGACATTATTTTTAAACTAATTATTACAAATAGTTGGAGATCATTTATAATCAAAAGAAAATTTTTGGGTAAAACTCAAGATGCTGCTTTTAGTCCATATAATTATAAGTTCTTAAGTAGCAAGATCAGATTTTTCAAAAATTATCATCAATACCAAATTAAATATTAATATTAAAGCTAATGATGGAACTGATCATTTGATTGGTCAATTATGTTAATCATATTATTGCTATATTTATAAATTGGCATCATAAACTACATTAATAAATGAAGATTTTGCTAATTCTCAAGATGATTTAATGATTTATTTCACTCTATCCAATTAATGTTATATTGGAATGAATACACAAAGATTGATTGAAATAATTATTAATGAATAAGTACCAAATGATATAATTGCTCATTTAGTTAAATTTTTGTATTATGATATATAAGATATCTTTATCTTCATCTTGAAAGATGTAAAGTATTTGATTGAAAAGAATCCAAATCTCATTACTAATAAATAACAATTATTAGAACTTTATAAAGAAGTAAATATATATTTTATCAATAGTGTTAATTTTTACAAGCAAGAATGCTTAACTTTTATAAATTTAATCGGATCTTTCCTCATTTTAATTAAATCATGCCTCCACACTCAATCTAAATCAAAAATACAGTCTTAAATTCAGTTTTAGATGAAAAATAGATTGAATCAGTTCCAAGATCTAATCCACATAACATTAGAGAACCTCTTTCTGTTAAGAATTCAGAGAAAAAAATTTATGATTATCCTAGGCCTTTCTCACCGAAGCAAAAATATTGATAATTAAATTTGAATTAATACTAGTAAATTAAAATAATTATTTTTAATTCTTCTAATATTATTCTCAGATAAAAATCTAAATTTAATTATAATATCTTGATAAAGAGTAAATATAAAAAATTGGAGAATAAGAAGAATAGTTATTCAAATGTATAGAAAATAAATAATGAAGTGTTAAATAAGTTTTTTTTAGAGATTAAGTTTATAAAAATGATGATTTCATTTATAATATGTTAAACCTCTATTATGGGAGTATAAATATAGATAATTTATAGAAAGAGATTTGAAAATAATTAATTGATGACAGATCAAATAAGAGAGTTTACTAAATGTAATGATGAATTAAATATAACAAACTTTATTAATAAATTTTGTTTGTAACAACTAAATTATCTTTACGCTTATGTTTATAAATCAAAGTCCCTATAGGAATATCCCTCATCAGAACATACCAACAACTACGATATACGTTGATCCTAACAAATACTAATAGCCGATTATTCAATAACCAATTAGATATCAATAATCTCCAAGCACTGATTATGGTTATAGAGATTCTCAACTTTAACATCAATTCTAAGACTTAGCTAAAAAATATGTAAGTATCTATATGTGATTTATCATTTAGTAAGATTTATAGAATGAAAATAATCAATTATTGAGATAACTCTCAGATAGGCCGTAAATTGGTTAGACAGAACTTTTGAATTAAAAACTGGTATTTCTATATTGATATATACAAAAGTAATACTTTGCTATTGAAAATGAAAAACTTAGATAGCAGTTAACATATACTTATGAATTGTAAGAGAAGTTAACACTTGTTACTAATTAATTAGAGAAAGTAAATGAAGCTTTAATGTTATCAAATTAAGAGAACTAACAATTATATCAATAAATCGCTGAATATAAAAATTAATAAACTTATGTCTATCAATTAAACTCAACTATTCAAACATAAGAAATTTAATTATAATAGAAGTAAGAGTAATTAAGAAACTTACAATAAGAAATAGATTATTATCACTAATTATTTTAATAGAAAGCCCAAGAGATATAATAAGCACAATTAGAAATTAATAGAGTGATTGGATAAAACCAAGTCTTATAATAAGAATTAGAAGTTCAGAAAAGAAACAGTTTGAAATTTAAATAAGAAATTGTTTCATTATAAGTTGAATAAAACAATTTTCTTTAATTAAGACATGAGAATATGTAATTGAATGAAAAAAATTAAGAATTGTTAAGGAATTTTGAACATTAGAAGGCTTTAAATCAAAATCTTATTATGGAATTAAATAAATAATAATAAATGGACTCATATATAGATTAATTAATAGAATAATTAAATGAATAAAGATGTAAATTAGAATTTGCAAGTAGTAAGATATAAGATTAAACAAATAAAATGAATGAATTAGAATTTCTTGCAAATGAGAAAGCATAATTAGAAGTTTAATTTAATCATTTAAAATAAAACTATAACATAATGGAAAATGATTACAATAAATTAAATGAATTATTAAAATAGAAATAAATTGAATTAGAAGTTAATAAGAATACAAATATGTAATACAGTTAGAGACTTTAATAAAATTAAATTAATAATGTATTAATTAATGAATTGAAATTAGAAATAGAATAATGGAAATCTAAATAAAGTAGAATGGAATAGGTATTTAATGATAGCAAAAAGGAAGATCAATTTAAGTATAAATGTTTATAAGAACAAAATGTTTAATTAAATTAAATAATAGCTGAATTATCGGAGAAACTATAATAAAAAGAAAATGAATTTCAGTAATAAAATAGAATGATGTAGGATACTTAGAAAAGATTGAGGGAAAAGGAATAAATAATGAATTATCAATAGAGTAAACCAAATGTAGATTTAGAAGAAGTGTAAGCTTTGAAGAATCGTATAAAGCTTTTAGAATTGAATGATGAAAAGAATAGTAGTCTTTAAAAAGAAATATAAAGATTAAATGCATAAACCGCATCTTTAAGATAGGAATTAGCTACTTATAAAAATAAACATCATGATTATTAATTCATAGATGAACAATATCAAAAATCAAATAAATAGATACAGGAATTAAAAAGTCATATTGTAACATTATAAAAATGATGAATTACATTATTTTATACTAACAGTTAAATATAATATTTTAAAATGAATTTAGAATTGTAATAGATGTTGATTGAAGATTTGAATGCCAAATTGCTTCAACGTGCTGAATTGATAGGACAATATGAAGAATTGGAAGAGTTATTGGAATTTCATAAAACCAATAGTACTTTCGAATATAGTATTGCTATCAAACTTGAATAGTTGGAAAAAGAAATTTAAAGCAATATTTGTTCAGATTAAAAAATTAAGAGTACAATAATGAAAGAAAGAGAGAAATTAAATTAAGAACTAACAAAAAGAATAGAAGAATAAACTCTATAAGTTTTTGAATAATACATGATTAATTGGAGTAATTGTATTGATTAAAATAAGTAAGTGATTTTAAGGGATTCAGAGTTATACATGGAGAAGAGAAGTATTAATAATTACTACTAGAATAACAGAAATAAATAAAGGAAATGATTTCAACTTAATACAATAAAAAGATATAAGGAATTACATAAATTTATAAATAATTCAACTAAATAGACTAAGGCATTTAGTATAATATATAATACGTAGACAATGATTTGACAATTTAATTGAATTAATAATAAAATAAGCCAAATTAATCAATGACTCAAAAGAAAGATGATACACTTTAATTATCTTAAATGTAAATTGAATAATTATTATTTTAAGAATACAATAAATTGAGTACTCCAAATAAATAATTAATTTATAATAATAAGATGACTCTCTAATATAACACATGGATGAATTCAATAATATTATGACTAAGTAATCACATCCAATTAAATTATAAACCATCTATGAAGAATAATAATAAAATAATAATTGTCATATTAGATAGCATCATCATAGTAAAACTATATTTAGTCATAAACATTCAACTGCATTAAGTCCTTAAATGTCTAAATCTTAATTTAATAAAGAGACTACTTTAAAAAAATCTTTAACTAAAGGAACCTTGTTACTCAAAAAATTCTCAAATAAAACATCTAAACGAGAATTTGATGTATTTCAACATTAAAATCCTACTTAATTAGGTTATGGTTTAAGAATGGCATAATTAACATAAGATAGAATTGAATTTAGAAATCAATTAAAACCATAGATAATTGATTCCTCATTGCTACTGTCTCAAATTTTAAGAGTTATCATTCCTAAATAAATATAGGGATATTTGAAGAGAAGGGTGACCAAAATAAAAGAAAAAGAAAATAATATTCCAAATCTTTCTTATTGGCCTATGCAAATTTTAACTTTAAATTAAGGATAAATTGATTTGTTGTTCTATTCTTAAGATCATATGATGGATTGGTATAATGGTTTAATGAATGTAAAAAATATTAATTAATGAAATATTTCAAATTATTTACTCTCATTTCAATTACAATAGGTTCTTAGATTCATTAGCATATTCATCATCTTCAAAGTTCAAGCTCTTTAGATACTTAATTATTGGTTGTTGGTGTTGTATGCATAACATTCTCAATTCTTTTATTGTGGTTTAATGAAAGAAGAGCAGCTATTAATTCATATCGACTTTAATATGCAAGATAACATTGCATTTCCTTAACTTCTTTTTAAGAATCAAACCCTTAAGATTTAATACATGTTACAGGTTAATTAATAACTGATGAATTAATTACTGACAAGGATTTTGGGGTTTCCTAAATAAATTGTGTTAAATTACTTAGAAATGTAGAAATGTTTTAATGGGTCAAAGGAGAAAAATAGTAAGAGTAAAAATGGGTTGACAATTATGTTTAGAATCATTTTGGATATACTAATGATAAATCTAAATGGATTTTGAATTCAGAGACAATTTTAAATTCAAGTGTAAAATTGAATCAATATTAATTGGCGGATGATATGAAAAAACAACTTAACACTCCTATAGAAACTGTTAAATTGAATTAAGCAAATGTTTAAATAGCTTAATAAAAATTTAAACATAGTGGATTTAGTCGATTGTAAAATTATTTATTTATTTTAAGTTTACTATAAGATGACTATATTTATATGCATTAAGTAGAAGATTAAATTGTAAATGGAGATATAAGAATATCTTTTAAATAAGTAACTTGTAGCGATGTCACAATAATAGCTAAAGGTATTATGAATTCTCTTGTGGTTTGGCAATTTGAAGATATTTTTAATTAAACTGTTGCTAGAGATTATTAAGAACATGAAAGAACTTGTTGCCATCTTCCAGTTCCTATTGAAAATAAACCAATTAAAGAAATTTATTGGATATTTTAAGGTCTTTTCACACCTGAAGAATGTTTTTCTAAAATTGTTAATGAAAATTCTTTGCTTTTTTGGATTTTTAGAATTATTGGATATATTTTAATAGTAAATATATATAAATATAATTTAATAGGCAGTTGGAACAATTATTTTATTATCTCCTGTATCATTTTTAACTGAATTTATTCCAACAACAAAACTGACTGGATTCAAATTTTTAATATTTGGTAGTGTTTCTGCCATTCCTATTACAATATTATCTGTTTGCATTTCTTGGATATACTATCGACCTAAAATTGGATTACTTATGCTTTTGATATCGATAATTTTAGGTGGAAGCATTTTTTATTATGGCTACTTAAATTAATGATAATGAATTGTCTTTGAATTTTTAAATTATATATAAATTGTAATATTTTATTGATGAGACATTTAACATAATAAATTTCAAATTTAAACTTTTTTTCTCGGTGGTTCTTCGACGGAATCTTCTTCTTTAACTTCAACGTCTCCATCTTCATCTTCACTATGATCATCAAATATATTCCAAATCTTAGATATTGCCATTTCTCTTCTAAATTTATTCTATTCTATTAAATATAATTATACTTTTTCTAGACCAATTAAAAATTTGCCAACTTAAGTAGGATTTAAAATATTTCTTAGTTCATCTATAAAATTCTCCACTTATGATGTTTTATTATATAATTATTCTTTAATTTCTTGGAATGATGTTAAAATTCTACAATAAATGAATACTATAAAATTACTCTAATAGTTTATTCTTATCACTTATAATTCTTCTTTAAGATTTTTTCATTTATTTTTTTTAAGATTCATTTATCTATAAATCATTCGTTAAATCCAATAACCATTAAGGTTATCCTTCGATTTATTATTAATCTTATTAATCAGCAAATAAATCTTTGCTTTCACTAGCAGCCCATAGCATATATCGAACATGGACAGGAAAACAAATTTCCAATATTTAATTAAAAAAGTAATTGGAAGCACTCACTCTTTCTTTTCCACCACCTCCAACTCTAAATCTCATAGAATCTAATAATAAATTTAATTCATTATCATCTGCTTTATTTTATATTGATTTTTCTAATTTCTCATATAATTACTGCCTTCCCAAAAAGAATCCTTATAACTATATAAAAATATAATACTAATAAATACTTATTGATTCTAACTCATCTTATTTAAATAACCTGCACTAGTCTTATTTAATAATTTCTATTTCTCAAGTTCATCATTTAATTATTTCACTCGATGTTCTAACAATTCAATATAAATCTTCTTTCTCTTCCTTGAATTCCTAGCACATTCTCTATTTCTCAATAACTTTGCTTAAGTGCTGTCCTCTATATCTTAATAAGAAACACTATTATTTTTATCATGTCTATCATCCTCAGATGCTCTAAATTTTGCCTATTGTTATTGTAACAATTTCTAACTATCCTATTAAACCAAGTTTGTTATCTTATTAATGTAAGTGTTCTTTAAATTATTCTTATATTAAAATGGATCTTTCTGTTTTATTTGTTCAGATTACTAATTATATTCCTTTTTAAATTCATTACATTGTTTTTTTGACTTTTACGTTTTTTCTATTTTTGTTTTTTTTCATCTAATAATGGCTCTTCCTATTTCATTTCCATTTGCTCATATTAATTGTCCAATAATGAAAAATTTTATTATAATCCAATAAAATTTTAGTTGCTATTTGTTCTTGGAAATGTATGACTAATTATTTAAATTCAATCACTTACGGGGGATCCATCAAATAATTGACCATAAAGTCATTATCAACTAAATCAAACAAAGAATTGACGGCCTTTTCATTATTTTAATTATACATGATTTTATTTATAATAATTATTAAAACACACTCATTTTTATAAGATTGCCTTCTAATTTATATAAATTTATACAATAATAAGTTTATTTAGATGATTTATATAACTAAATAGTCTTAAATCTAATTTAAAATATATTATTTATAAACAAAGAATAATTTATTTCTACTTAATTTTTTTAATTTATTGAGTATCGAATAACAAAATTAAACTATAAATCTTTTATATTAATAATAAAAAAGTTTAGAATTTTATTAAATAATATCTTAATAAATTTAATTAATAACTTGTTCATTTATAAATGATAACAAGAATGATTAAAGTAATATTTTTAAATTTAATTTGAATTCGAATGTCCAAAAAAACGTGAGATTAGTATATAAAATATTTAATATTAATCGTCTTATCTAAAATAAAACTATAAATGCTGTAGATAATTATAATAATAGACGGTGTTTATTAGGGATTTATGTTTTATTATAGTAAATATTTTATGATATTCATGATTGAATATATTTATTGATTATGACTAAACATAAAATTCAATATTTAAATTAAATAAAGTATGAAATTGCTACTCTTAACTATTTTAGTGAATTTAATGGAATGCAGAAATTATTCTGGAAGTTCTAGTGATAACGAAAGTGATAGTGACAGCATAATTGGTCCAATATTTGCCTTCTTAATTGGATTTTCAATGATTGTTTCAGCATTTCCATGTTTATGGTTTAATGAGAGAAGGTAAATTAGATAAAGATGATTAGAATGGCTATTTCTGAGACTAGGTTATTGATAGCAAGAAGAAATTGTAAATCTGTTAATGCTGCTGAAATAGATCCTCGTATGGATAATTAATTAATTCATGTTAAAGGAAAGTTAACTACAAATGACGTTATAGTTGATTCACAATTTTAATTGGAAATTAATAATAGTGTAAAATTGAGAAGAAAGGTAGAAACATATTAATGGGTTTAAAAATCAAGAGAAGAAGGAAGTAAAAAGAATAAAAGAACTGTATATTATTATGAAAGTGAATGGTCATCTAAAACTTAAGGATCTTATCCTAATCATGAAAATAGATTAGAAGATTTAACAGTTTAAGATTAAGAATTAACAGCAGAAAATGTTTATTTAGGAGCTTATAAACTAACAGATTATCTAAAAAGCAAGGCAGTTGATTATATTTAAGTTGAAGGTATTTCATAGTAAAATTGTGAAGCTGCAAAATTAACTTATCAAAGTAGAACTTAAAAATTTATGTAAATAATTGATATTAATTTAGACATTATGATGGAAAATATATTTAGTTTAGAAAATCAGAAAATTAATAATCAATAGGTGATTAAAGAGTATTATTTGAAAAAGTTTCTTGCAATTATGCTGCTATTGTAGCAAGATAACATAAGGAATCATTCAAACCATATTTATTTAATGATTCATATTCTTAGGAAGTAAATTCAGATTATGCTAAACATCCAGACATGTTAAAGAGTTTGAATAGATTTCATGAATTAAGTGAGGAAGAATAACCACTTAATTAAATAGATCCATCAAAAGAGGTTTCTTCAAATATTTTTAAATCTTTCGAAGCTCCTTTAAATTATATCAATTGGTATTTCAATAGAAGTTTCAGCTTAGATTAATGCTTTGATGCTTAATTAAGTAATTTAGTTGGAATAGTATGGTTATGTAGATTTGGAGGATATTTATTATTTGTATTAATGTTGAATTATATTCAAGTTAATTGGATTTGTCCTAGTATTTACTCCAATTACCACTCTATTATACTATATACCATTATTGGGTGGATTCTTATCAAAACTGACCGGAATTTTATTGGCAATACTTAGCGGAATGTTATCTTTGCCTTTAACTCTAGGAACAATTGGAATTGCTTGGCTATATTATAGACCAATAAAAGGATTAATTTATTCTTCTATGGCAATTATATCTGGAGTTGCATGTCATAGATTTATATTGAGCAATTGATTTATCAATAAAATTATAATATAGTACGAATGATCACTCAACTTAGATATTTAAACATCAAATTATTCAATTTAAATAATTCTTTTGAATTTAAATTCCAAATTTCTACAAGGAAGAAGTTTCAATAAGTTTAAAATTGGAAGTAATTTATTTTTAGTTATTAATTAGATAATAAATCATCAAAATTTTGAATCGTTTGGTATGGTTATAGTGAGATAGAGATTGAGAACAATTAATATAGAGTTTCATCTTAATAATGTTTTATTTGATCATTAATTTAAATATCTTAAGAGATTAAATATTTTAATTTATGAGTGCTGATTCGGAGGAATAGAATAGGTAAATTAACATGCAAATGATATTGAAGAGATGTTTCAAATGATCCATAACCAAAACTTGACAATAAGAAAGTGCAGGATTATACAGAGGATTGGGGGTATTAAGGGAACCCATCACCACGATTTACACCTATGCCTTATCCATAATTATTTCCTCCCATATGCCCTCCTCCATTTGAATTAGAGAAACAAGGTATGAGATAAATATGCTATAAAAGTCTATCATGACTATGATCCATAGAAATATCCCCAAATGAACAGCGATAGGAAAGGGCAAAGTAGATATCCTTATCCAAAGCATTGTTTAGGTGAAGTTCCGCAAATGGATCACATTGACGATGATCCCCATCGTATTCCTGTGCCTTATCCTTTCGGCTATTATCCCCATATGAAATACCCGCCACAACCAATGTTTATGAAATATCCACCACCTACACATTAAGGTTAGCCATATATGGTTCCACCAAATCCATGGTATCCTCCAAGACCATAATAATAATTAATGCCTCCTTTTTGTTACTATCCCTAACCTCAATATGATGGACTTTAATGTTAAAACACTGTTTCTAAAGAACTCTAATCTAAAGTGTTTTAATTGGTTTAATATTAAAAAGTTTCAGATTTCTAATGTAATTGTAAAAAAAGTAAATGTCTTAAACTTTATTGTGAATGCTTTGCTAATAATTGGGTATTATAATTCTTAACATTTATTATCAAAGGTTTGTTCTCAAAGCTGCAATTGTTAAGATTGTAAAAATAGAATTGATAATCCATAAGAAAGATCAAAAGCTATAGAAGAAGCATTACTTAGAAATCCAGATGCTTTTGCCCAGTGCTTTCAATAAAAAGGTTAAACCTAATTCTCTGTTTAATAATAAGGTTATTTTATCTATTATACATTATAGATAAACCACTCAAAGAACCAACTAAAGATAATCCTAATATAACTAGAAAAGGTTGTAATTGTAAAAAATCTGGATGCAAAAAGAAATATTGTGAATGTTATAGTCAAAATTTAAAATGCAGTGATCTTTGCAAATGTGAACAATGTCTTAATAGAACTGATGCAGAAATCTAAGCTCAATAAGATATTGCCTAAGTCTTGAATTCCTAAGATTAAGTCAATGTAGACATTAAAGTTAACTAAAAATCAAAAAAAATCAAAAAAAATGGAAATGAGGATAAAAGCGATTCTTAGAAACCTGTTGTTTAATTGAAAATTAATCTTAATAATAATAGTAGTAGAAAAAAGTAGGATAAAAAGTGAATAATAACAGTTATATTTAATTCATCTATCCCATCATTAAATAAATAGTTTCTTTCTAATCAAATCAATACTTCTCAACATCATTTATCATTATATCAGTAAGTTTAGAATTCGATTATATTGTGAAATAATAAACTTACTTCATTCTTTCTAATTACTATGTATTTACCTATTGGACTTAATTTAAAGTGTAAATCTAAAATGTATATCATTATTTTTAAGTTTTCTAATATATTATTTATATTAATATTATACTTCCATCCAAACTACTATGAAACTTGATTTTCAATCCTTTTTTCCTAATTTAAACATATCAAAATCTTTCAATTCACAACTTATGTATTTCAATAAATCTTATGATATGAATTTCTTATATCCAAATCTTTAACGAAGAGAATAAATATATTAAATAATTATTGTCTCTTTCTTTAAAATATTTATTATCGTTATCGTCAAAATTAATTAATTGTTCTACTCAAGTATAGAAAAATACAAAATTCTTATGTGGTTTTAAGTTATTGCTTAATTTATAAAATTTATTAATTCAACGTTTGAGTTAGTAAAATTTTAAAGAATAATATTCCTTATAAAAAATATAAGCAAAACAGGGAAATATGATATATGACAGGAAAATAACTTATTTCAACAAATGAAATAAACATTCTCGGTAGAACTTTTAATTTATGTTGTATTTAAACTAAGTAGTTTGACATATTCAATATAAAGCCTACTGAATTCAATTGTTTCTTGAATTATGAGATAACAACTGTATTCCAAATTTTAAATCTTACTGATATCTCTACATTCAACAACAAAAAAAATATCTTTGAGATTAAATCAATATTTCAGTTAATTCAAATTCATTTTAAATTCAAACATAATCTTCATTTCTCGCTCTTTAAAAAAAATCTGTAATTTTTTTATTTTCATGATAAAATCAAGAATTTTCATTCATTCCTTTAAGATATTTTTATTTTTGCATTTTTGTACATATGATTAAATTCTAAAGATATCTCTTCATATTATGCAAAGTCTGGCACCTTATAATTGAAAGAAGCATATATATCTCATATTGTTTAAAAAAAAAATAAATTTTAATGCATATAAAGAAATAACTGATACATCTTTCCTAGAATAGTATATCTTATTTTATTCAATTCAGTTTATGGAATTTAAATAAGTATTAATTTTAGTTTATTTAACTTCTTCAATTTTTCTTCTGACTTGATAATAAGTTCTTTTCAATTTAAAAGTAATTAACATTTTTAAATACTTACCTTTAATATCATCTGTTAAATACCTGAAATAATAGAAGTCATAATTCATGAGATTAGTAAATAAATAATTTTAAATGTTAAGGTTATTATTTTGAAAAAAATTATATTCTAATTAAAAAATTAATTTAATGGAAATATTTGATTTTTTAGGAGAGGATATCATTACAGAATAAAAAATTGAAAAGAACAAACAACTGAAGTCAGAAAAATAATAAATAAAGAATGAACTACATAAGTAGAAAGTAGTTTAGAAGAAGAAAGAAAAAAAAAAAAAAATAAAGCAATAAAAATATGAGGTGATTTAAACTTTGGAAACCTAAGAATAAAAGAATGACTTTGTACATTAATTTAAGGGTTTAAGAAATTAAAGAAGGGAGAATGGAATAAAATCCCTTTAGAGTCCATTTAAGATTATAATTGATTGTGGTTTTGAAGAAAACATGTCAGATAAAGAATAAAGATCACTTGCAAGATAAATTTCTGAATTATACTAAGAAAATAGAAAATTAGATATTCCTTTAAAATTATATGTGACAAATATTTATCCTATATTGCATAAATATTTAGAACAATATCATTACAAATAATGGTAATTGATATCTGATGAAAGACTTTTCATAGATATAGAAGAATTTAAATAGGCAAATATAGTTTATTTAAGTCCTGATGGTGAAGAAGAATTACAAGAGATTAAAGAAGATGAAGTTTATGTAATAGGAGGACTGGTTGATAGGTAATTTTTGCAATAGAATTTATTTTAGAGTGATCATGAAAAATGCTACACTTAATCGAAGTAGATAACTAGGAGTAAGAAGTGCTAAATTACCTATTGGATAATTTATAAAAAAAAATTACAAAAAATGTTTAAATGTGAGTACAGCTGCTCTAATGATATCAGGATGGTTATAGTATAAAGATTGGAGCAAAGCTTTTGACAGTATTGTGCCATAAAAATTTAAAGAATAGGAAGCTGAAATGTAGTGATATAATTAATTTAATTTTGATGAAATATTTTATCGTTTTTCTTTGTATTCTCTCTATCACATTCTGTCAGAGATAATTTTTAGGATAAACTTTAAGATAACGCTAGAAGAGTAAAACGTTTGTTCAGCAGCCCAATTTTATTTAACATTAGTAATAAACCAGACTATTATAATAAGATCAAGATGATTTAGTCGATCATTAGGAAATTTAATAACATGACTAGATTTAAAATAATGAAGTTTAAGAACGAAAGAAAGTTAGAAAAATAGTAAAAAAGAGAAGAATTATTTTAAAACCTATCGAAGTGAATACTACAGATTAGCTTAAGAACTAAAAGAAGAGAAAGGTTCACAAAACAATTAAAAAGTGTAAAAAAATTATCAAGGATTGAAATTTTATATCAATAATAAAAATAATTCAAAATGTTTTAATATACCCCTTAAGAAGAGGCCTGTTATAAATAACTTTGGGCGACTTTTGATCCATAAGTAATTCAAATTAATTTGATTATTAGGGTCTAGGCTTTGCATAGGTCAATGGTATAATTAATTTTTTCAAAAAAAGTCGATTATCTTTCTATTCACTTTAAAGTATGGTGTGAAGAATTAAGAAGGCATACTAATATTATTAAGAATTTGCTACTGTAATGAGATTTATAGCATATTATTAAAATGGATTTTAATTTAATGAACAACTATTAAATTAAAATATACATGATCCTTCCAGTTATGGAAGGAATATAAGTACCATAACAATAATAATCAATCTCTTAACCACAAGATTTTTATGATTTTTATAGTTTGATTCAAATTTTATACTAAAATGATACAATCTTCTATAATAATAGTAAAATCAGCCACCAGAATCAAATTATTTTTAAACTTAACCTGTTCAAAAAAGTTCTTAAGTTTTATAATAGTTCTCTGTTGATAGATTAGATGTTTCAAAAGTATTGAAATTGGGTTCTATTTTTAGTATGATTTGGATGATGATTAAAACAATAGATATGAACTCTGGTTCAATTAATAAGATAAAACAAATTAAGGCTTTATTTAAGATGATTAAGCATAGGCATTTTTTTTTTAAATCTTAATTACCATCTCTCCAACTTTTAATCAATTTTGAAATTTAGTTGAGTTTGGATAGAATAGCATTTAAAATCAATAAATAGTGAATTAAAATCTTTAGGAACAATTATTTTAAATAAAATAATCAAATTAATTAGAAGAAAAGCAGCCTTCATAATAACCAAATTAATTTGAAACAATTAATGTAGTGTAAATTATTATTATTTAGATCATAGATGATTGTGATTAATCCAATTATAGAGGAAAGAAAGATAAAGTAGTTTCTGGAGGTAACCAAAGTGCTGAAAATCTTCCTTGGTAATGGAAATGAGAGAATATTAAAATTAATTTTTTTAACGAATAAATATGTTAACTGCATCACCTCACATAAAATCAGATAAACCATATCAATAAAGTCCACAATATAAGAAACCTCATCCATATAATCCTGAGGCCAGTATATCTCTCAAGAACTCAATCAACTTAAAAGGTAAATATTAATAACTATCANAGTCGATTATCTTTCTATTCACTTTAAAGTATGGTGTGAAGAATTAAGAAGGCATACTAATATTATTAAGAATTTGCTACTGTAATGAGATTTATAGCATATTATTAAAATGGATTTTAATTTAATGAACAACTATTAAATTAAAATATACATGATCCTTCCAGTTATGGAAGGAATATAAGTACCATAACAATAATAATCAATCTCTTAACCACAAGATTTTTATGATTTTTATAGTTTGATTCAAATTTTATACTAAAATGATACAATCTTCTATAATAATAGTAAAATCAGCCACCAGAATCAAATTATTTTTAAACTTAACCTGTTCAAAAAAGTTCTTAAGTTTTATAATAGTTCTCTGTTGATAGATTAGATGTTTCAAAAGTATTGAAATTGGGTTCTATTTTTAGTATGATTTGGATGATGATTAAAACAATAGATATGAACTCTGGTTCAATTAATAAGATAAAACAAATTAAGGCTTTATTTAAGATGATTAAGCATAGGCATTTTTTTTTTAAATCTTAATTACCATCTCTCCAACTTTTAATCAATTTTGAAATTTAGTTGAGTTTGGATAGAATAGCATTTAAAATCAATAAATAGTGAATTAAAATCTTTAGGAACAATTATTTTAAATAAAATAATCAAATTAATTAGAAGAAAAGCAGCCTTCATAATAACCAAATTAATTTGAAACAATTAATGTAGTGTAAATTATTATTATTTAGATCATAGATGATTGTGATTAATCCAATTATAGAGGAAAGAAAGATAAAGTAGTTTCTGGAGGTAACCAAAGTGCTGAAAATCTTCCTTGGTAATGGAAATGAGAGAATATTAAAATTAATTTTTTTAACGAATAAATATGTTAACTGCATCACCTCACATAAAATCAGATAAACCATATCAATAAAGTCCACAATATAAGAAACCTCATCCATATAATCCTGAGGCCAGTATATCTCTCAAGAACTCAATCAACTTAAAAGGTAAATATTAATAACTATCATTAAAGATTTTTAATTTAACGAAGAATTAGAATACTATAAAAATAGATGTCTAGATCTTGAATAATATGCTAGACATTTAAAAAATGAATTAGATACAACAATAATTAAATATAGTAAATAGGGAGCTTTGGATGAAAAAGCTGAATTAATGATTCATTAGAATTAAATACTTAGCTAAGATATAGATAAATTATAAAAGAATTTTGCTTAAAAGAAGACTGAATGTGAATTATGGAAGTCTAAATATGAACAACAACTCAATAGTGCAGTTTAATGTATTTAAATTTTATATATATTATAGTAAAAGCCCAATATGAATTAGATTTACGTAAGCTAAGTAATGAATTAAAACTTTTAGAGGAAAGAAATTCCATATTAGAAAAAGAGAGATCTCATGAGGTTGAGGCTACAAAAACTAATTTTTCTAGTAAATTTATTTAAAAATATTTCAGTTTAAAATGAACAATAAAGACATAGTTATCTCCATTAAATAGATTTATTAGAAAATTAATTAAGAAAATTAAGAGAATATGCTGATATAAGGGATAAAGAAATCTATGAATTAGAAACAAAATTAACTAAAGTTTTATAAGATAGAGAGTATGTAGAAACTAAATTGCTTAAAGATAATGATTTATATAGAACTAAACTATAAGAACAAGAAAGAGACAATTAAATTGAAATGAACAATCTTAGATAAAAATTAGATATTTTGAATTAAGGATAGTTGGACAATATTAAAAATTAATATATGGCTTAAGCTGAAATTTTAGATGATGAAATTGAAAAATTGAAAGGCCTTTTAGAAATAAAAAATGAAGAAATTAAAACACTTATAGATTAAAACGAGAGATTGAGAACTAATTATGAGAAAGAAATAGAAACTATTACTTTATAATTCCATATTTTAAAAGAAAAAATGTTTGAAAATGAATAAAGATTCTAAGAAGAGTCTTAATAAATGGAAAATGATTTAAGAAATTAACATTAAATAGGAGTTGAAGCATTATAATAACATCATTAAAATTCAAATTAAATTCTTGAAAATTAAATTCTACATTTAAAAGGATAAGTTTTGGAATAAACCAAATAATTAGAAGAATTACAAAAAATTAGATAATAATTACTTTAAGCCAATCTATAAGATCAAGATAACGCTTAAAATATTATCAATAATTTAAAGAAAGAAGTAAATATAATTTATCTAATTTTTAGATTTTAGATTTATAAAATCGCTATCAAGATTAAATTTAAAAAAATTATTAAGATTATGATATTTAAAAAAAAGAACTACTCAATTACAATTAATAATAATAAGAATATAATTTATAGTTATAATAATAGATTTAAAATTTAAATTAGATTATAGAATTAAAAGAATCTTAATATGAAACTACACTTGTATAATTCAAGAATATGAATGATTAATTAATTGTATTTTAATTTTATTATCTTTAGAATAAACTAAATGATTTGTACAGGGAAAATGAACAAATCAAAGCCAAATTTAATGTTACAATTTCGGAATTAGAAGATTAATTAAATAGATCATTAAAATAAATTAAACAACAAGACAATAAATTATAATCATTATCATCTACATATTAAAGAGATAAATAAAATGCTGATAGATAAATTAATAATTTGTAGAATTAAAATCGATAAAAGGAATTATAATTAGCTGAATTAAAAGCTTAATTGAAGGCTGCATAAGAAAATATTGAAAAAATTGAGAACGAATTATAAGAAACAAAAAATACTTACTAAAGTTAATTCGAAGAATAAAAATATAATTATGAATAAGAAATAGAATAAATCTAAACTTAATAATATGAAGATTAAATAAGTACCAAGAAAAATTTCGAAGAAAAAGAAAATTCATTAAATTAGGAACTTATTCGAATAAAAGGAGATTTCCATACTTAAAAAACATTAAACTTAGAAATGAATTAAAAGTAATTTAGTTTTAATATAGTTTTTAGAATAGATCAATATGGTTAATAAATCTAAAATGCCGTTAACAGTTCTGATGTTATTAAACAATACGAAATTTTATCCGAAATCAATTTAGTAAACAGATTAAAAAATTGAAATATTATTTATTTATCAAACTTATTTATAATATAATTTAACTTTGGCAAAATTAAAAGAATTAATATTTATATTTTTTAATCAAAAAAATCCTTTTAAACTTCCGAATTTACCAGTGTTAATTATAAATTTTTTATTAAAATTGGATTCAATAATTTCATCAGGTTGAGACTATTCTTATTATATAGGTATTTTTTTGATATAAGTATTAAATCCACCAGTATTGATTGTATTTGTAATTTTAACAAAACTATCTCTGGGATTTCTAACTGAATGAATTTCTTAATTTAGAATTTTTTATCCTTCCAATAAAAAATCGTCTATCTCTTCTATATTTAAAGGCACTAATTTCTTAACAATATCTTGATTTTCTTTTAATTTTTTATTAAGGTAAAAGCGAGATGTGAATGATGAATAAGGTCGATAATTTTTTACACATGAATTTGGTCTTCTGACTATTTCAATAACTGGAGGTTTAGAATCAATTTGAAATTTAGGATCTAATTCTTAATAATCTACATATTTATAAGGATATTTCTTTTTTAATTCAGATCCTTCTGTTCTAAGTCCTTATTTCTATATAATTACTAAATTTTACCCAAAAGTCATTCCCTAACTTCTATTCAATAGGGGTTATGTGTTCAAGTAATTATTTAATTTCTTGTTTCACTCTAAATTATTCTATTTTCTCATTCATTGAATAACCTTGTTTTCTTTATATAAGAGAGCTAACTTTTAATTAAGATGTCTCCCAATTTTCTACAGTATTTTAATAATTATTTAAAGCTCTTTCAACAGTGTCCATCTTTAATTTATCACCTTTATTTAGCTTTCTTTTGATTTCCTAATTTAATTTTGCACTCTTAACTTTAAATATCAAAAATTACTTCAATCTAATTAGTTTTAACTCTTCTTTCAACTTCTACAATTTCTTGTTATACTTATTCTTCATTTAGCTATATAATTTAAAATTCTTTAGACTTAATTTTTTGAGGGGATTTCTTGGGTTATTCTTTATTAGAGACAAATTCTGTTACTAATATTACAATAAGGATTCAATTTACATTTAGAGTAACTATTATTGAATACAGGCTGAGAATCTCCTTCTAATAGAAACTATGTTTTCATTTTTAAAAAAGGTTTTTTATTTGGATTTAGCCTTCTTTATTTTTCTTACTAAAATTATTATACTGAGCCAACAAGTGTATGCCTAAGAATTTATCCTTTTTAGTCTACTTTAGGTCCTTTGTCATGGTTAGGTAAAACTTTTAATAATTCTGATGAGCCTGAAAAAATATTTTGTGCTTAAGTTTCAATATCAACAGATTATGGAAGCATCAAGAAAACCATTTTATTTTTTGGAGATGAAACTTTAATATTTTATTGGCTATTCTATTAAGTATCAAATTTCTAAAATTTGATCATTCTATGCTTTGATATCCCAATAAAATTATTTTATTTATAATTGATTTATTTACTTGATCAATATTATCAACTGAGAAAATAAATGTTAAAATTTTAATATGAAATTCTCAAATATTATTCTATCAAAGTCTTAACCTCAAAAAATTAAAGATATAATTAAATTTTAGAAAATATCAATTTCTGACATTTAAGAGATTAAATTATAATAATACTAAATTTCTTTATTAATCTTATAAAAGGTTAGAGCAATCATTTTTATAATATCAACTACTTTTTGAAATTAAGAACTAAGCTAATAGTATTGGGCAGCTACGATAATACATAAATATTATGGTTTAATTTCTTTAGAAATTGCATATTATTTATACCAGTATCATGAGATATTTTTTATATATTACTAATTATTAAGAATATACATTAATTAGAATAAAAATATTTAGATTTCAATCTTATGATTAGCTTCTAAATTGATTCATTTTTTTTTTTAAAACACTTTATCTCCAATTCTTCATTTAAGTAACATCTCCAATTCTTGGTCCTAAAATATCTCTAGAAAATGAAAGTTATTTTACCTTTTAATAATGGCAGAATATTATTATTAATGATATGGTTTAGTGGTTTTTGGCACTGGATGAAGGGGATATTAGAAATAAGATTCGGTTTGTTTCTCAAATATGACTCCTTTGGATGAAATTGGATTCCTTAATTAAAGGATGAGTGAAATACAATTTTGAGTTATTATTTTTATTTTAAGTTTATTCTATTATTTATGGCCACATAAAATTTTTATTGTAATTCGTTTAAGTTTATTGTGAGAATTCTGTAGAGGTAGATAATCTCGGACAAAATTTTCTATTAAAAGTTTTACCCATTTGATAAGTCTAAAAATTAAGTGATAATATATACTTAAGTCGATGTAAATGTGGGAAATTATTGTTGGATTTTTTCAAATTTAAACTTTTCTTATTTAGTTTTGTAATTTGGAGGTGAATATCCAGGATAGTCAGTTTTATATGAAGTTTAAGCAAATTAAAAATTTTAATGAGACCTTTAATTTTGAGAATTTTTGTTAAGCAATAGTTTTTCTTGAATTTTAGATTTGATATCATGATTAGAATTAGTTTTCCATTTAGTAGGTAAATTTTATTTGTTTTTATTATAATCTCCTTATATTTTCTCTTAGAAGTACAAACTCAATAAGTAGTACAAATATTCTTTATTTTAGTTAAATAATTGTTCCACAGATGATTTTTGTAATATTTCATGTGGTATAATGAGTAACCATATAGGATCTGAGGGAGGAATATCAGGAAAAGGTTTATCAATATAATAAAGAGGCATGTTGGTTTGACAACTAACTGAATTACCATTTTGAGAACTTGTTTATTAAGTTATCTAATGTTATTAAGTTTAGAATCTTGTAGGTTTTTAATCAGAAAAAAATTGTTTATTTGGGGAATATGAAGGAAGATCTTGAATACTTATAGTTGAGATTGCCTATGATCTTTTCTGAAGAGTATTTGTTTTTCGAGATGATGTTGATGGAAGAAATGGTTTTGTTTATGAATGGAACATCTATTTAATATGTTCTTATAACATATATAGATATAATATATATGAATAAATGCATGTGTAAAATACTAATAATGACAATTAAAAGCGCACTATGAATCTTTATATATCTAGTGATGGAGAATCTATGATTAATACATTTAATGATAATTCAATCTAATAACTTTCATAGTCTCAGAACAAAATATTAACCAGAGTTACCATAGTTATTGTAATTAGAAGAGTTAGACACGAAAACAGAAACAATATAAGTGAATCCTAAAATTCGAGAAGTATATTTGTATAGTGATAATTTTAAAGATGTTCCCATTTTTATGTAAGGATGAAGTAAAAGCAGTCACATTTTAAGGAGCAGATGCTAATGAGAATTTAATAAGAGCACCATTAAGAATAGGTAAGATATTAATTGGATTTTGAAGGTTGTGTACTTTCTGGTGGACAGGCAGCAGGTGGTCATAATGTTATTGTTGGTATTTATGAATAGATAAAGAGAAGACATCCAAATAGTTAATTATTTGGATTTTTAAAAGGACCAATTGGTATTTACACAGGTAAGTATGAAGAATTGAAAGATGATACAATCAATTATTTTAAGAATAGAGGAGGTTTCGATATGATTTAAAGTGGAAGACATAAAATTGAAACAGAAGAACAATTCAAGAAATCTTTATAATATTGTTAATTATTAAAATTAGATGGATTAGTAGTTATTGGAGGAGATGATTCAAATACAAATGCTTGCTTATTAGCTGAATATTTTTTAAAGAATAATTGTTAAACTTGTGTAGTTGGTTGTCCAAAAACAATTGATGGAGATCTAAAAAATGAGTTTGTAGAAGTAAGTTTTGGATTTGATACAGCTTGTAAAACATATAGTGAATTAATTGGAAATATTATGTTAGATACAGTTTCATCTAAGAAATATTATCATTTTATTCGTTTAATGGGAAGATCTGCATCTCATATTGCATTAGAATGTGCATTATTAACAAGACCTACTTGGGCTTATATAGGAGAAGAAGTAGAGAAGAATAAGACTTCATTAATTTAAATAGTTACTTAATTGAGTGATTTAATTGAGAAAAGATATAAATAAAATAAAAACCATGGTGTAATTTTAGTACCAGAAGGTTTAATAGAATTTATTGATGAAGTGAAAATATTAATTAAAGAGATTAATTAAATATTGGCATCTAATAAATGGGAATCAGATCAAGTATTTGATAATATCTTAACTAAATTGACACCTGAATCATCAAAATTATTATAATTCTTGCCAAGAAGTATTAGTGATTAATTATTGCTTGATCGTGATCCACATGGAAATGTTTAAGTGGCTAAAATTGAAACTGAAAAATTATTGATAGAAATGGTAAAAGCAGAATTAATTAGAAGAAAATACGCTGGTAAATTTTCAGCTATTAGTCATTATTATGGATATGAAGGTAGATGTGCATTTCCTACTAAATTTGATTGTGATTACTGTTATAGCTTAGGTGTTAATGCAGCTATTTTAATAGAAAATAAATTTACTGGAGTAATGAGTTGCATTCGTAATCTACATTAAAATCCATCTGAATGGAATGCTGCTGGTTTTCCACTAGTTACTATGATGGATGTAGAAACTAGAAAAGGAAAATCAGTTCCAGTCATTAAAAAAGCATTAGTTGATCTTGAAGGCCCTCTATTTAAATTTTATTAATTAAATAGAGATAAATGGGCATTTCATGATTATTATCATCCTGTAGGTCCTATCTAATTTGAAGGTGATTAAGTTCCTCCATTTCTTATTAATGGAAAAGGATTTGAATTTGAAGAAGTAGACAATAAAATATATGAATAAAAACCCTATGAAGAAATGCATCTCAGAAATTTATCAAAATTAGGATTAGAAAGATCTAACACTCCTTTGGCTTTACCTAAACATTTAAATATAAAGCTTTCTCTTAAAGTTATTCATCATAATTATACTGATAATGTTATGAAAGCCATTGAAAAGCATTTCCCATCTCTGATGGCTAAAAGTATCAATGCTTTTTAGTTTGTTCATGATGATGTTCATGAGGCACATAATAAACCATTAAGAATAGGAATTACATTAAATGGTCGATAATCTCCTGGAGCTAATTGTATTATTCGAGGATTGTTAGCATTATGTGAATAAAGTGGTTCAACTTTATATGGATTTATTGGAGGTACTTAAGGGCTTTTCAAATAAGAATATATTGAAATTAACTAAAATAGCTTGCAATATTACATAAATTAAGGTGGATACCATTATCTAGGTCGTACTGCAGATAAAATGAGAACAGTGTCAGAATTATAATAAGTAAAAGAAACTTGTAATAGCCTAACCTTAGATGGATTAGTGGTTGTAGGTGCTTCACATACTCTCACTGATTGTATAATAGTTGCCAACTATTTATTGTAAGAAAATGTTAAGACAAGAGTGATAGGAGTTCCTTGCACTGTAGATAATAATATTGGTCATCCATTTTTAGAAGGTATAGTAGGATTTGATACAGCATCTAAGACATATTCTTAAATGATAGGTAATATAATGATAGATGCAGCAAGTGCTGTAAAATATTGGTATTTCATCAGATTGATGGGAAGAGATCCATCACATTTAGTTTTGGAATGTGCACTTCAAACTCATCCAAATGTAGTATTAATTAGTGAGGATATAAAAGAGAGAGGACTTACTTTATAAGAAGTAGTTTCAGAAATAGCTGATGTGGTTGTATTAAGATCATAGAAAAACAAAGAGTTTGGTACTGTGTTAGTTCCTGAAGGACTATTAGCTCATATAGGATAATTTAAATAGTTGATAACTGAGTTAGATAAGCATTTCACAACAAATAAATAAGAAATAATGAATAATTTAACTCCTTGGTCAGCAGCTTTATTTTAATCACTTCCAGATTTCACTTAATAATAATTATTAATGGAAAGAGAAGTTCATGGAGGTATTTAATTATCTCAAATTGAAACTGAAAGATTATTAGCTCATTTGGTTGCAGAAGAATTAAAAGTTAGGAAAGCTGAATCTAAATATAAAGGATCATTTTCACCTATTTGTCACTTTTTTGGATATTAAGGTAGATGTGCATTTCCAACTCGATTTGATGCTAAACTAGGAGAAGTTTATGGATATTTAGCAGGATTAAGTATTCAAAGAGGATTAACTGGTTATTGTGTTTCAGCTAGAGGAATTGCTGGACCAATAGAAAGATGGCATTTTAATGTAATTCCATTATTAGGGATGTTATCTATTAAATAAAAGAGTGCTTATGGAGAGGCTTAACCTGTTATTGCTAGTTATGAAGTAGATTTAAAATAGGTAATTAAATCTATTTAATTTAGGCACTCTTTAAATACTTCAGTTAAATTTCTAAAAATTGGTATTTAAAAGATCATTATGAGAATCCAGGACCAATCTAATTTTATGGACCAATGGCTCGTAGACCCACTTTGACTGTAGAACTCAGTTATAAATGTTATGTTGATTAAATTGAAGAAATTGAACGTCTTGTTGAAGTGATATCTGAATAATGCAGATTTGAAACCAGGGCTGATTTACTTGATTTAGCAATTGCTTAGTTAAAAGTTTTAGCTAAAACAATTGAAGTTGTGAAAGAGGCTAAACAATGAAATATATATAAATTTAATAATATGTCAGTTATTCGTGAGAGAAATCCCCTTACTTCTCTTAATTAGCTTTAAAATCTATTTGCAAAGACTAAACCTTCAGAGTCTTCTTAAAATATATGTTCAGAGTTACCTCGTGGTGTTAGTAAACATAAATAAAAAACTGAAGGTTCCAAGAGAGAACTTTCTAATGTTTAGAAAAGCTAATATACATTACAATCATAAAAACTATATACTAATCATTAAGATCTCTTACTCTCTCCTGAAAGATGTGATTCTATATAATAAGAAAATAAAGTACTTGATAATCATATTGATAAAAAAAGAATCCTCAAATAATCTGTTGAACATTCAAACGATCCTAATTAAAAAAGAACAAATGAACCAACAAAAAAGATTGAATAATCATAAACTATCTAACTCAAAAACCTTATCCAAGCTAAGTAGATGAAAGAGACTAACAATCAAATCTTAGAAAAACACAAGAATTCCAGAAGAGAAAAAAATGTCGCTTAAATTTTATATGATGATAGTCGAACTAAGAATCAAAAAAATTAATAGATTAGCCAAAGTTCTACTATTAATAATGAAACTAAATTGTCAGAAAATACATAACAATGGTTTATCTAAAGATTTATTAAGGACTTTTATTTCTTTCTTAGTAATACTGAAAGTGTCAAAATTAGTTGGGATTACTCTAAAATTTATGAATATGATTTCTAACAAATTCTTTAAGGACTAGGATTTGGTGAAAGTAAAGATTTATGGAATGATTTTACCAATTGCTCATTTATACTCTCAAGAAATATGCTCATCATTTTACTTGCCATCCTCAATGTACCAGTTTAGTAGATACCTCTTTACATACCAAAAGATGATGAATAAGTTCCTCTAGCGTCCCATTATAAAATTGATGAAAATGGCAATCTTTTGCTATCACCCTAAGATTGTGTTGAAATACACAATAAATACAAATAACTTTATTTGAACACCAAACAAATTTAAGGAAATGGATAAAGAAGAAATATTGAAAAATCAAAATCCCCTCCCTAAGTTGTCAATTTATTAAGTAATAGATCACGTGATATGGCAATCAAAAAGAAAAATAATCTCAATATCAATGAATGGTTTACTTAGTAAGAATAAAAAAAAAAAGAGAATATTGATAAATTGAAAAATCAATTAGAACAATAAGATGAAACTAAAGAAATCAAATAAACTATCAAACCTATTGCAATTGATTTAACTTAATTAAGCAAACCAATCAAAAAACAATAAGATAAATCAACTATCGATCTAGAATTTGAAAATCAATAGTAATTTTGTACTTTCTCCCCTTAAATTAATCCTATGAAACATTTTCCAATTTCAACTGCCTCTACTTAATATGATATTGATTAATAAGCAAAACGATTAAGAGAGGCTCGGTTAAGACAAAAAACGCTTGAAAAATTGAAAAGCACTGGAAACACAACGAATAATGAAAGTAGAACTTAGATCAAATTATAAACAGAATAATCAATGAGTTAAGAACCAAAATGTAAAAAAATTAAAAGCAAACCTATCTTTCTAAATTTTCCTATTTTGTATATAGATGTAAAAATAGATGATGCAAAGACTGTAAGATTACCAGTATTTAATGGAGATAATTCTGAAAGTTTAGCAACTAAATTTGCTCTAGATCATAGTAAGATTTATATAAATAAATTTAAGATTTAGATAATTCTTTAGAGGAAAGACTTAAAGACTTACTAGAAGAGTAAATAAATTCGGTCTAAGAATAATAGTTATGAATTCACACTTTAATTTATTTAAAATTTTTTACTATTTGATAAATAAGTATTAACGATTGATTTATAAAATTAACTCATTTTTGACTTACGCTATCTAATTTTTGAGATTTATTATTTTTCCCTTTGTTCTCTTTTTTATCCTAACTTTTCTTAGTTTTTTTATTTTTTTATTTTTTATCTTTTTCCTTTTACTCTTAGTTCGTTTTCAATAACTTTTTATTATTTTTTTTGTACAATCTTAGTAATCTTTGTTCATTTGTTTCTNTCTTTACATACCAAAAGATGATGAATAAGTTCCTCTAGCGTCCCATTATAAAATTGATGAAAATGGCAATCTTTTGCTATCACCCTAAGATTGTGTTGAAATACACAATAAATACAAATAACTTTATTTGAACACCAAACAAATTTAAGGAAATGGATAAAGAAGAAATATTGAAAAATCAAAATCCCCTCCCTAAGTTGTCAATTTATTAAGTAATAGATCACGTGATATGGCAATCAAAAAGAAAAATAATCTCAATATCAATGAATGGTTTACTTAGTAAGAATAAAAAAAAAAAGAGAATATTGATAAATTGAAAAATCAATTAGAACAATAAGATGAAACTAAAGAAATCAAATAAACTATCAAACCTATTGCAATTGATTTAACTTAATTAAGCAAACCAATCAAAAAACAATAAGATAAATCAACTATCGATCTAGAATTTGAAAATCAATAGTAATTTTGTACTTTCTCCCCTTAAATTAATCCTATGAAACATTTTCCAATTTCAACTGCCTCTACTTAATATGATATTGATTAATAAGCAAAACGATTAAGAGAGGCTCGGTTAAGACAAAAAACGCTTGAAAAATTGAAAAGCACTGGAAACACAACGAATAATGAAAGTAGAACTTAGATCAAATTATAAACAGAATAATCAATGAGTTAAGAACCAAAATGTAAAAAAATTAAAAGCAAACCTATCTTTCTAAATTTTCCTATTTTGTATATAGATGTAAAAATAGATGATGCAAAGACTGTAAGATTACCAGTATTTAATGGAGATAATTCTGAAAGTTTAGCAACTAAATTTGCTCTAGATCATAGTAAGATTTATATAAATAAATTTAAGATTTAGATAATTCTTTAGAGGAAAGACTTAAAGACTTACTAGAAGAGTAAATAAATTCGGTCTAAGAATAATAGTTATGAATTCACACTTTAATTTATTTAAAATTTTTTACTATTTGATAAATAAGTATTAACGATTGATTTATAAAATTAACTCATTTTTGACTTACGCTATCTAATTTTTGAGATTTATTATTTTTCCCTTTGTTCTCTTTTTTATCCTAACTTTTCTTAGTTTTTTTATTTTTTTATTTTTTATCTTTTTCCTTTTACTCTTAGTTCGTTTTCAATAACTTTTTATTATTTTTTTTGTACAATCTTAGTAATCTTTGTTCATTTGTTTCTAATTTTTCAGATTGTTAGATATTCATATTTTTGCATTTTATTATTGAAATATTGAATAGAACTTCAATATTTTCTATTCGTTCTTTCTTTTAATCCTAAACTATTAACATTTTTCCCACTATAAAATAATATATAGTTATAATACTCTTTGATCTTAATCAATAATACACTGCATATTTTTAATAAATCTATTGCATATTTTCAAATATTTTTTCATTTCTTTTATGAATTTCTTATTATAAAGTCTCTATTTAAGCTAATAAGTTTTATTCTTTTTAGGTAAATTCTCTAAAATCTCCCTATCCTTTTACATACGGTCAAGATTGTTTATCGAGTTTGTTAAATGTTACTGGATGATCAGGAGATATATCAAGATTCTCTTTAGGAGTCTTGAATTCTCATACATGATCTATTCTCAATAATCTTCCACCTATTTTGTGAGTCATATCAATACATCAGCATGATTATAGTAGCCAATATGGTTGATCATTAATCTTTATTTGCAAGGAAACAAAATCCTTTAGATTTTCCAGTTATTTTATCACAAACCAAATGTACATCAACTACTTCTCCATATTATGAAAAGACAATGGCTATGTCACGTTCATTCATGCCATAGTTCAGATTGGCTACAAAGATTTTTAAATAGTTTTGCTCATAAAATAAATAATGAGTAAATGCAATAACCAAGGATTCATATTTTGTGTAACAGGAAATTGCAAGGACTTTGGATTATGTTTGGAGTAAGTTGCCCTTTCAACAGCCTCTATTTAGGAACTGCATGCTCTTTGTTGTTGATGACATTATGTATATACCAAATTACAGTCCGAGTGATTGAATAAAGAAGAATTTACAAAAGGAAACAACTGTTGTTTTTAATAATTTTAACTGCTGATATATGTATATATAATTTTAGGATAGCATGAATAAAATAGTTTTTCTAATCTTTACAATGAATAGAAATCTCACATTTGCTTATTTCTTGTATTTTTACTTTGATTAATGCTTTTTGATTTTTCTAGTTTACTTTTTTACAAAGAAGGCGATCGATTTAAATGTTTACAATAAAAGCAAAACAATATTAGTGAGAGGTTGCACATATGGATTGTTTGCTTTTTTTTCTATATTATTGTTGATAGATATAATTGTTTACTACTTGAAGAAAGAAAATTGTAGTTGTATGTACAAATATCTTACATATAAGTCATTACTCTATTTGTGATTAGAGCTGTAGAATTATTGGCAAGCATCATATTCATCATAGGAGCTTATTATTTGAATAAGAAGATGAATGCTTTGATTATTGAATAAATAATGTTTACAAACAGAATGACAGGTGTTGAGAAGATGTAGTTCATAAAAATTAGGAATATTAAATTGAAATTTTGGTAGGAATATAATAAATAATAATAAAGGACTTTAGTTTGTGTTACTGCTTTTGGATAATTAATTTATTGGAGTGCTGATTTAGTATATTTGATTAATTATCGAGAAAACAAAATAACATAATGTGAATTAGCTGCATAAGTAAATTAGTTTCGATTTTATATAGAATATAGTATCGAAACCTTGGATTGATTTGTTGATTTGTCTTTTTGGATATTTCTTGCCATTATTTTGCGCTGTATATTTGTTTTGGTTCAAAAAGAAATAAGTTTAATATGTGGTAAGAATGTCATTCCGCTTAGATAGAGGAATCGTTAGAAGTAGAAAGTTTACCAGAACGATACTATCATTAATTGTTAAACAAATCGAATAGTTCGTTCTCATCCTCAAAAAAAAATTGATAAAGCAATAAAAAATATACAATAATTCTGCAAATTATAAAAGAAATTAGTATCTTTAATTAAATTCAATATATATGTTCGGAAGAAAAGAAGATATGATTTTCATTAATTATATTAAATAACCATGTCTTGGGATGCTTATGTGACAAATTTGACAGCTAATGGAGCTCTTGAATATGCTGCTATTATTGGATTAGATGGAAACATTTGGGCAAGCAATTTTGGTGTTGCCGTCCTTCCTTCATATTAAACAGATGTACCAGATGAGAAGAATCCAGACGCTACAACTAAAGTTGCTTATGATGAGAAAACAGCTTTTGTTCACTCTATCACTCATAATGGAAATTCTGGAAATCCAGCTGGAGTTAGAGTCAACAATCAAAAATATTATTCAGTATAATTTGATGCTGAATCTAAGACATGGTATTTGAAGAAGGTATTAACTAAATAATAATAATCTCTAGAGTAAAGGAGGAGCATGTGTTGCTTGGGCAAATACAGTCGCTGTCTTTGCTTCATTCTCCCAAACAATTAATGCTGAAAATGGAGCTCCTTAAAATGCTAGTGATTGCAATAAAAGAGTCATTGATATGGCTAAGTACCTTGCTGATTCTGGATATTGAGTTTGTTAAGTTCACACAAAATATTAATAATCATACATCATTTATCTCTTCTACCCCGTCTCTTTCATCATATTTTATAATAGTTTTAAAACATTGTTCTAGAATTTACATCATAAACGTGTTACAATAATTAAAATGAAAACTTTTCTCCTTCTCCTCTATATCATCCTTCAAACACTATGCCAAGATTATTACTAATTACTTGGAGTACCACGTTCTGCATCAGATGAATAAATCAAAAAGGCATTCAAGAAACTATCCCTCAAATATCATCCTGATAAAGCTAAAGGCGATAAAGTTGAAGTAAGTGTAATTTCTTAATCTTAGTCTGAAAAACAATTCTAAAAAATTGTAAATGCTTATGAGATTCTTAAAGATCCAGAGCAGAGAAAAATATATGATAAATTTGGAGAAGAGGGATTAAAAGAGCATACTTAAAGATAACAACAAAGTATACATTTATATTAATGACAAGAATAAGGCCATTTTAATTATAATGATATTTTCTCTAGGTTTTTTGGAGGAGGATTTCAATAATAAAAACCTAACCTTGAATAATCTTTATTCTCTAAAAGTGATGTTTATGAAATCGATATGACTACTATTAATAAATTCTTTAGAAGAGATCATGTTTGGCTCATATTCTTTTATAAAAATGATGATTATGCCAGATAATACAAAAATACTTGGAATGAATTAGCATCTAAATATTATGGTATTTTTTAAGTAGCTGCCATTAATTGTGCTGCTGAAAATGAAATTTGTGATGATGAATTCTAAGTTTATGAGTTTCCCAAAGTAATTACCTACCCTGCTAATATAAGATAAGAACCAATTGAATATAAATTAAAGATAGAATTAGAATAATTAGCTAAATTTGCCATTTCTTATATGGAAAGCTTTGTTAGCATAGTAACTAACGATAATTATGAAAAATTCATTCAATAAGAAGAATAACATATTGTTTTATTATTCACAAATAAAACATCTACTCCACCTCTTCTTAAAGTTCTATCCAAAGAACTAAAAGGAAAATTAGTTTTTGGACAAGTCAGAAATTCAGATACTAAATTAATTCAATCATTTTAAATTTCAAATTTTCCTACTCTTATGGTAGTGACTGAACCTGAATAATATAGGGGTGTCATTTATGAACAAAATGATTTTAAAAAAGACTAAATTATGAAATTCTTAAGAGAATATGCATATATTAGCAAAAAAGTTAAAAAAACTCATCAAGCTCCAAGAGAATTGTCAACTTTATTAATAAAAAATGGAGCTTGTACAACTAAGGATACTAAAATGTGTTTTATTATTATTACTGAAGATAAAGATTATTTAGATTTGCTAACTCCTTTATCTTAACATTATATGAAGGATAAAATAGATTTTTATTACATTAATAAAAAGTAAAGATATTATTTTATTTTCTTAGCAATTTAATATACTCAGAAGTTTTTGATGATATTAGCACTTTCCCAACAGCAGTGGTGATTAAACCAAAAAAGGAAAGATATGCTAAACTTTAAGGGGAATTAAAATTATCAACCATATAAGATTTTCTTGATTCCATAATTAGTGGGAATGTGTAATTCAAATCCATGAAAGATAGTCTTGATCTAAATATATTTAAAGAAGATTTGTGATTTTAATGTTAATTTTATTTTATTTAATTTATTATAAATTATATATTATTTATTTAAAATATATATTATATATATATAAGTTATTTATATTTTACTTTATAAAAAAGGTTCGATAAAAATTTTGAAGTTGAATTATTTTATGACAATTGCTTTTCTTCTTTAGATTCTCAATGAGAAATTGTTGATAAAGCTTTGAGGCAATTATTTTAACCTTTAAAAAATAAATTAGGACTGATAAATTTATTATGTAATATAATTCATATATATTACTGATTTAAAACATTACTTGATCATTCAACGATCTGAAGTATTGATAAAGTTAATTGATTTCTTCTTTGATGAATAGCAGCTTCTTATTGAAGAGTTTTGAATTAACTTGAAACAGATTAAAATGAATTATTTTGATTATCCAGTGATTCACTCTTAGGTTTGAATTGTCATAAACTGACAAGTGGAAAGAAGTAAAGTTAATAAATTTTAATGAATAAATGACATATATTTGAATGAATCATTTGATTTCGACAATGTCTGCTCTAGTGGTCTCTGCAACAGCAGCAGCTTCAGCTATAACTTCTGCTGGTACTCCCATTTCTTTCAAAGTATCACCAAGATGCTTAACAATTGTATTGAAGGCAGCTGTTGTAATACCAAGACCAGCATGACCTGCTTTCATGTCCTAATTGTATAAATAATTTATTTACTCTTCCTTTGTAATTATTGGGTCCTCCAAAGGCCATAGTAAGGAATTTTTATTACATCTCTGTCTATTTCTTCATATCTGTATTTTTGAAATAATGACTAACAGATGGATCTGAGAGCACTTTTTGATAAAACTTGACAACAGCTGCGTCAATATTAGCTTAACCTCCTAATTTATCGAATATGGTCTTATTTTACATTGCCAAATTTAATTATTGATTTAAAATCCATAAAATGAATTCGTTTAAAAATACCAAAAAAAAGATATTTTTAGATAACTAAAATTATTTATTTATTGAATTAATTAAATTTATTAATCACTATTAATCATAATATTTAAAATCTTCTATCTAAGTTGTATAAGCTTTACGAAGCAATGCATTAGGAACTTTGAGTTGATTTATATTAGACTACTCCTCTTACATAGGTTTTATGGAACAAAATAAACTCTTTCTAATAGTTGATTTAATCTTAACATCATAATAACCATTTCCATCTTCTCCATCACTTGAACCTGTATAACAATCTTTTTTTAATAGAAATGTTCTCTATCTCTATTTATTTGAATTCCTAGATGAGAGATGACTAATATTTTTATTAATAGTTAGATGTCTTAAAGTTTTCCTTACTACATTGCCTTTAAACCAAGGATGATTAAGAGCATAATCTGGATGTGGTCTCTCTTATGGATCTTTCTTTAATAATAATTTGATTAAATCTTTAGCATCAGCAGAGACTTCTGAAAAGATTTCTTCAGGAAAATCATATTTAGCTATTTTAATATTTTCTACAAGATCATTCAAGCTATATAATCTGAAATTAATTACTAATCTGCATTAAATGGTAATTATCCAGATAACATTGAATAAAGAATACAACCAGCACTCCACATATCAACCATCTAACTTTCAAAATATCATTAAAGTATTTATTACTTATATCCTTCTCCTGTAAATATTTCTGGAGCTGAAAATGCTACAGTACCAGTATATGTCCACATTTCTATCTTCTCTGTATCTTTTAGATCTCCAAATAATTTATATGAATCACTAAACTTACTCACATTGAAATCTGTAACTTTTATCTATTTTTTATCTATATTAATACTATTAATATATATACCTTAAAGACATAAGATATTATTTGGTTTAAGATCTCTATGACAAATTCCATGACGATGCATGTATTCTATCGCACTAAGCAATTGTTTAAAGAGTTCTTTTGCATCATCTTCACTATAATGTCCTGAATCATTTATAACTTCAAACATTTCTTTTCCTTGGATTAGTTCCATTACAACAAATGCTTAACTTTCAGATTAAAATCCAGTATCAAAGTCTAAGTACATCTTATAAGCTTTAACTATATTATCATGAGATAATTCAACTAATCGTTTGAACTCTATTATCATCTTTTAAATTAGTATTTTCTTTTACATTACGTATAATTTCATCATCCTATGTAGCAACAATCTTTACAGCAAAGTCTAACCCTGTTGTTTTTTATACTATTCTTTTTACTAAACCTAAACATCCTTCTCCTAATCTCTCATGAATCTCATAATCTTCAAAAAACTCCTTTGTATTTGGTATTATATTTTCAACATCTATTTATGTTATTTCTACATCTAATTTCTTGCCTAATTCAATCAACTTCTCTTCACGCATTTGAAATGGCTATATTGGTTTATTTATTATAGCATTCAGTTAGCCTTAAATCAAAATCATATATATTCTACATCTTAACTATTATTTGATTCGATTTCTATTTCCTTATATTTAAGTTTATTATTCTTCTTCTTATGATTTTTAGAACGTGAAACGACCACTAGGCTTTCTATCTAACATAGATGATCTTTATTAAATTCTTAAAGAGTCTTGTGGACTTCTCTCTAAAACTCTATCATCTTGCATTTGATTTTATATTAATTTAAATTAAGGATGAAAAAAGATGAATGTATTGAAGTGAATATTCTCAGTAATTAGATTAATTTTCAATATAAATTATAAAGATGAACATTATCCTAAAATAAATAGGATAAAAATATACTATTATAAATGTATACATCAAACAATTACATTAGATAGAAACGAAGATTCCAGATCGATTCTAAATTGATCAGATTTAAATTAAAATCTATGATGGTAAATTAAATTGTAAAATTGTTCTTTTAAAATCTTACAAATCTGAAGAATGTTAATTTATGTTAGATAATTAAGGTTTATCGAAAATTTTAAAAATTCATTTTGATGTCTTTTGTACAGATTTTAAAATTCATATTATAAATAAATTGAATTGATAAAGGCAATGCTGTTTTGAGAAGGAACAAAAATCACATAATTATGAAATTAAATGTAAAAGAATAATTGTTCACTTAAATTTTCTAAACCAAAAGTTCAGAAGATTTCAAACTCTTTGAATTTTAAGCACACAATTGTAGTTCAAATTCTATTTTAGATTTATAGAGAGAAGGAAGTAATAATTTCATAAACTATTTGATTAAAATTTGATTTAGTATTGAGAATGGCACAAATAATTTGAATATAAATATAATTATGAAAAGTGAGCATTAATCATTATTATTGACTAAAAGAGAAGAATTTAGATTTTCTATAAGAAAGGAGAGGTTAGAAGATCTATTCAATCAAAACAGAAAGAAATCGCACATGAATAATGAAGCAGATCCATTAATTGAAATTCCAAGTTTTTCTGAATCATAAGAACTTCATAAATATCTTATTGATGGAGAGTTTAGTCAATAAAAATTATTAAAGGCTGCTAATGATAAACAATTGTTAAATAAATTATTTCTTAGCGCACAAGTATCAGATTATTATTCAATTACAATTTTGGGTAATATATGCACCAAATAAAATCTTGAAGAATGTGAAATTCTTTTTCTAAATTAATTAAAATTAGCAAAACAAAGAAAAGACATCAGAATGATTGATAATGTAAAAATAATACCGAATCATTTAGATATTTGATGCACTAAATAGTGTTTGTACATAAGAATTAACAAGAAAATAATTAGAATACTTATTAAATGACAATTTAATTGCAATAGTAAATTAAATACTAAAAGAAAATTAACATGAGATTTATACAGATGATGAATTTAAAATGATAAAAAGTGGAACTGAATTATTATGTAGATTCTTCAATCAATTTAGAGTTTTTAGTGAGGAAGAATTAACAGAAATAATATAAAAATATAACTAAGAGGTATTCAATAATAAAATTGCATAGATTCGATATACATTTTATTTAATGAAATAATTACTTCCTCTTCAATTATAATATCCAAAAGTAACTTTTATGTTTATAAAAAATCTAATATAAATTATTTCATTAGATCCTGATATAGCTAATGATTTAGACAATTAAACTCTTTAAATATGTGTATAGTTATTAGATTGTAGTTAAAATCCAATTTTAATTTCAATAATTTTAAGATTTATGATTGGTATAAGTGCTTTCAAAGATGAGAAATTTGTTTAAAGAATCTTTTTTTTGAAAGGTCATGATATAGTTAAACAATATATAAATCATGAAAGTTTAATAATAAGGTAAGGTTCAATAAAGTTATTGGCTAATTTTACAAATGTTGATTCTGAAAATTTATAAAAGGAGATTGTTTCAGATCTGCCTTTTATTGCAGAAGTTGTTTAAAACTTTTAGAATACAGAAAAGACTGATGAAAATTATTTAAGATTGATTTATGGTATTACATTTAATTGTATGGCTTACACATCAACTGAATTGATTCAAGATTTAAGAGTATTTTAAATAGTCAGAATTAAATTCCTTTAAGAGGAACCAGAAGAAACTGAAAATATAATAATCTATTTAAAAGTACTCTATACTTTAATTTGCTATTACTAAGCTTATTGTATAGATGACACAGAATTAGAATAAAAGTTAGAGAGTCTATTAAATCATTAAAATGAAGACTTAGTGAAACTTGCTGATGAAACACTTGATTTAATTGTAAGCAAATAAGAATAATGTATGAATGAATGAATGATTTTGAAAACTATTATTATTATAAAAATAATAAACATCATTACTTCCTCTTTTTACACATAAGTCTTTACCAAAAATGTTTCATATACACACAAAATAACTAATATTTTTATTCAAACGGTGTTTGGAAAGTGGATTTCCAGAAAGATTCATCCAAATTAATCATTTTTGATTAAAATTTTTCTTTTATTAAGAATTCCTCAATGTTCTATTTTTTTACTATTTTCAAAAAACACTCTTCCAACTATTTGTATTCATCTGAATAAGTTTCAGGTTTAGTAGTACTTAACAAAATAACTGTATTTGATTTTTTATAAATTTATTAGATCTACAGATAAATGTATTTATATTACTCTTTCAGAGATCTATTATCTTAATCTAACTTGTCGATCCATAGGAATTTAATCCATTTTACAGCCAACAAAAATAAAAGGCATTTTCAGTATTTCTTCCATTTAAATTCCTTTATAATTAATATAACCTAACAAGCAATCTTAATAATCATCTTAAATAACTAGACTACTTTATCTAGAGTATTCATTATTTTCTGTTTCTAAAGCTTCTTCGTTATCTTCATGGATTATACTTTTTGTTGTTAATCTTTGAATCCATTTTCTAAGATTATACAAAGTCTTTAAATTAGTAACATCAAAACAAAATATTATTCCATTAAATTTGAATTTTGAAATATAAATATCTAAGTATTATCTTTAAGCTTTGTCTCCAGATAAATCTATAATTTTAAGTATAAATTATTTATTAGGTGCAATTAAATTTCTTAAAGCCATTCTAATATCACATCCTTAAGTTTTAATTGCTTGTCTAGATTTCTTGCTTACCATTTTATCAGGATATTTTCTATAGGTTAATATATTTACTAATGAAGATTTTCCAGTTTGACCATCTCCAATAATCAAAAACTATTTTATATATTGATTTTATTATATACTTTCAATTCTTCAGGAATTTAATTCGTTTTTTGATCAAGTGATCTAAAGTCTTAAGATTCAATCATTAATTATTAAAATATTATAATTAATATGCTTACAATTCGTGATGAAGGTCCATATTTAGTATAAGAACTTGATGTTTCTTTGGAATAAGATAATGCTATCATTATAGATGAATCAGATCTTGTAATTTTAATACCTGAAGATCAACTTGCTAAAACAAAAAAGATAAAATTTAGTAAGAAAAATAAAAAAGAATAGAATAAATTATAAATAATCTAAAATATGGATTGTGAATAAATATAACTTAAGAAAGAAAAGAAAAAATAGAAGTTGAAAAACATTTAATGTAAAAACAAATTTTTCAAAGACATGAAAATGGTTTGTCCAGAAATAATCCAAAATAATGAATTAAACAAAATCCCTTTAAAATTTGGTAAAATTGCTGAGTAATCATCTAATGAATCAAAAGCATTCAAATCAATGATGGAACATGTATAATAATATAAAGAATAAGTTAATTGGTCTAATAGAAAAGATCATATATAGATTCCAGAGAAATTATTAAAAGATGAAATTCAAGATATTGAAGTTTTTATTCCTAAAATGAAAGGAATAAATGATTCTATTTGCTCTAACACTTTATATTTAAATAAAATAAAGGACAAAAAACTTCATATTTCTAGTTCATAAGAGTGTAACTTAGATATATAACATCCACAAAGTAAATAAAGAGATACTTATCTTCAATATTTAAAAGACATCTAAATGAATAGAATAATTTCTCAAAACAAATAAATACCTTGACCTATTAAATAAATCAAAAGTAGTAAATTAATATTAGTTTTCATCTTCTTTATCCTTCACACCATTCTCCAGAAATCTCTCTTGCAAATCTGTCTATATAAATACCCTCTCCATGTTACAATCCATTTAGCCACTATCCTTTGTACACTCTACCATCAGGCCAATAATATTCTCCATAACCTTCCTTTTTATTATCCCTGTAATTCCCCTCATCATGATTAATCTATACCTATATACTTCCTCATATCTGACCAATTCATTTCTCCATATCCATTCATCTTATTATTAGACCATTAACCCTTGTATGTACTTCCATCTGGCCAACTATAAATTCCTTTCCCACTAAATAATCCTTTTTTAAATTCTCCTTCATAACTTGATCCATCAGACCATTTATAAACTCCATATCCTTCCTTTACACCCATCACAAATTATCCTTCAAAAACTGCTGATTCATCTGCCCAAATCTCTTTTCCTTTACCATGACGATGATCTTCCTTCCATTCTCCTTCATAACTAGACTTATCTGAATGAACATAAATCCCGTATCCATCATTTTTATCATCTTTCCATTCTCCTACATAATAATCACCATTTGTCATTATCAATCTACCATAACCATTTGCTTTATCATTTACCCAATTACCTTCATAAATTGATCCATCTGGAAATATGTACTACCCTTTACCATTTCTTTTATGATCTTTCCACTAACCTATATAAATTCCTCCCTTCTCTATATATTAATAAGCACATAAAGTCTTAGCTCCAGTAATTGATTAACATTTTGAATAGTCAAAAGCTCCTAATTATAGCATGACCTTTGAAACTTCATGATGGAATATTTCTGGAACCTGATCTGTTTTTACTGCTACCTTTGAATCTGGATAATAAGACTCTTCAAGTTCTTTTTTCTATCCATATTATAAAATCCTACTTATTTTCGAACTGTATGCCCTCTAAATAATGCTTGTATTTTTGTAGCACACATCTCCTATACTTCTATAAGATTACTCTTCATCTCATATGGTTTAATCTCTGCTGGCAAGATGCACTCAAAATGATCTTATTCTTATATTGGATATCCTCTATTCGCTTAACATATTCCTCCCATATATTTTTATAATAATAATTTTAATTCCATTATCAATCTTACTTATTTATACTTTTTTTTTGATCCAATACCCTATATCACTGGACGGATTTAATAATGTAATAAGAATTAAGACTTCCATTCAATAAAACTTAATCCCTTCATCCTTTATCAAGATTTTAGATAAATAAGAACCAATTTAAATTTTAGTTAATTTTATATCAGTTGATATTTCACTTTTATAAAGCAAATCCACCACCCACAAATTTTTTCTCTGGTAAAATTACTTAAATCGATTATCCTTATTCTTCCTATATACGAAGATCTCTTTGTTACTGTTCTCTCTTCTTTTAATTAAAGTATTTCTACTTCACTCTTTATAATTCCTAAAATATGTATAAAACTATTACTTTATTGATTCTATCTATTTCTAATTTATATTCATTTATGTGGGATTAATACATACTTAATTCTTAATCCATTGCTTTCATTTATTCTTCCTTCTACCTAAGACTATCTTAATAATATGGTATCATAGCCTAATCTTCAAGTCCTGGCTTTCGTTTCATCTCATCTTTTAAGGCTTTCAATTCTTTTTCCTTCTCTTCTACAACCTTCTCTTTAATTAAAACTTCTTCTGTTTTTTAGATAAGTCTCTTTTAAAGACTATGAATTTTAGTCATTAATTCATAATTTTCAGAATCTGTCGCTTCTAACTTTCTCCATCTATGAACATTCATTGGATTTTCTAATTCTTCTGTTAATGCTTTGGCTTTCAATTTCTCTTCTGTTAATTCTTTAGTTAAATTGTGTATATCTCCCTCTAAATCTTTAATTGTATCTGCTTCTCTTTTAAAAACTTTAATTTCTCTTTTATAGTCAGCTATTTTTTCTTTTAACATTTAAATATCTCCTAATCTCTCTCGATATTATTATTCCCCTTTTTTAAGAGTACTTTCATTAATTTTAATTTTTTCATAAAGTAGATTAGTTTCTGATATTCTTCTTATTAATTAAGTACTTAAAATATCTCTTTCAGCCACAACTAATTCAAATTCTTCTTTTAGATTCTGAATCTATTATTCTTCATCTTTTATTGTAAATTGAAGCTTATCAACTCTCTTTATATACTTATTTATTTTTTCAGCTTTTTCATCTATATCTGTTTTGTATTTTTCCAAAACTCTTGATTATTCTTCAATTGTTTTATCTTTTTTTTTATGTTCTAAATGTTCCTTTGCTAATGCATTTCCCTTTGCTTCTATTTCTTCTTTTAATTAAGAAATCTAATGGTTAACAATTTTATAACTTCTTCTCATTTTTTCAATTTCCTATTATTTTTCTGTATAATTTTTTGAATAAAGATTTCTATCACTTCGAACTGTTTCATAAAGATTTTGCTACTATTTTAATTTAGCTTCAGTTTCTATATTTTTTTTTTAGAATTCACTTATTAATGAATCTTTTAATTTAATTTCATCTAACGAATGAAAATATTTAGTTTAAGCTTATGAAAATTATAAACATTATTATTCTGTTTCTTTCTCAACATTTGCTATTTTTTTATTTAAATAATCAATCTTCTTTTGTAAACCTCCTAATTCATTTTATTTTTCACTTAAATATTTTTATTTAGCTATAAAATCTTCTTCAATTTTTTTATTATTATTATCACATCTATCAATTTCTTTTTATAATATATTTCTAGCCCTTCTTAAATCTTCAATAATTTATCTATCTTCTGAAGCTTATCTTCTTTCAACTTAAATATCATCTTCTAATTAATTTAAACCATTATTTGCTAATTGTTTTTCTTCTTCTATCTTTTTAGCTAATTCTTCTTATTCTTTCACTAATTCTGTCATTTTTTTCTTTTTCTCTTCTCCTTCATTAATCTTTTAATGTAATTAAGTAATTTCAATCTCAAATTATTCAATTTACTATCTAGTTTCTTTTATTTTTTCTTCTATTTATTCGTTTATTTTCTCTACAGAATCTAATTTTTCTTTTATATCTCTTAATTCCTTTTCTACTCTATTTTTTTCTTATTTAAAATTCTCTATTTCCTTTGTTTTCACACTGTTTTAAAGAGTAACCTTTTCAATTTCACTTTTTATTTTTTTTCTCTCATTACCTAATTATTTTTCATCTTCTTTTAGAGAATCAAAATCCTTTTTAATCTTTTCTAATTCTGCTTAAGTTCCATTTTTAGCATCTTCATGTTTTTATAATTTCTCCTCCAATTCAGCTTTCATTTATTATAAAACTTTATTTTCCTTTGTTACAGATTCTTTAGATGCTTCAAGAGATTTAATTCTATCTTGAATTGATTAATTTTCTGATCTTGTTCCCAATACTTAAATTTATAAAATTTCTTTTTCTTTTAATAATTCTTATTTTCTCTATAGTAATTCATGAACTGTAGTAGTTTAACCTGAATTTAAAGCTTTACTTTATTCAATTGTTTGATTAAGTTATCTACATGGTTACATAATATATACTTGATTTCATTTTCTTGTATTTTAATCTTTTATTTATGCTTCTCTTCCCTATCTTATTGAATTTCCAACACTTTGTATGCTTTTTCTAATTGAGTCTTCAATTATTAGATTGCAGCAGAATCATCAGCAGTCATTTTTAAAACAGTTTGAATCTATAATCATAATAAATATATACTTTTGATGCATTTTAAGAGATTTCTGCATTATACTCCCTACATTTACTGATTAATCGTCTTTGATTCTCATGAATGATTTTAAGCGAACGATAAAGCTTATCAAATTCAGATCGAAATCTTTCTAAGTTTTAATCAGTCCCTAAATCTCGTAAGACCTCCTAAAAGTCTCTCTCCATAGTATCAAATTGACCTGTATCAATATCTAGATCCACTTAGTTTTGCATTAATAAAAAATATTTATATAAATGTAAATTCGTTAACCAACACGATATCCAATAGTACCTCAAATATAAAATCTGAATTAATATGGTCCTTTTGTCTCACCTACATAAAGGACATCTCAAAATTAAAGAGTTGGAACTCCAAATACATTACGTTTTGATTACTAAAGATTGCGAAATACTTAATCAATGCAACAATATCCTATAGTAAAGCAAGCTCCTGTTGTCACTCCATAAAAAGCTGCCATAAAAAAACCACATATTAAAATGCATTAACCTGGACAAACTGTTTCACAATTATAGACTCCCTCTTATGATCCAAGTCTTATGGTTGGACTTATCAAAGAGAATCAAGAAATCAAAGCAAAAATTGCTCAAAAAGAGAAAGAGCTTTAATTACTTAATGAAGAAATTGCTTTGTATGAATAAAAATCATGATATATATTAAAATATTTAATGGCTGATTAAGTGTAGATGTTATAAAGCAAGATTGAAGACGAATCCAAAGTTCTCTAGACTTTGTAAAGAGAAATGTAAAAGTATGTTGAAGGTATAAACTTTTACTCTAATTAAAGGCAGACAAAAACTTATAGAGTAATCTCATGAAAATGAAATGGTCAAAAAGGAACTTGACTTACTTGAACCAGAGGCTAAAGTATACAAACTCATTGCAAGTGTCTTGGTAAACAATATTTGCGATATCTTTCAAAGGTTTAATAAACACTATAAGAGTCCAAAGAGAATGTGAGCAAAAGATTAGATTTCATTGGTAAAGAATTCAAAAAAGTTGAGGATTTAATTAAAGAAAATACAAACAAACAAATAGCCAAGAAAACATCAATCTAAAAAATGCAAGAATAACTTTATCAAATCGTCTAAGCTTATTAGCAATCATTAAATAAATGACAATGTAAAATTTGTTCTAAATACATATATATAATATTTAAATAAATGTATATTATATAAATAATATCTCCCCTTTTGATTAACTAATTCATAGTATTGTTTTTAGAAATTTTTTATTTATATATTAATCTATCTAAAATCTAAACATAAGGGGATCAATTTATAAGGGAGAATTTCATTATATAAGATATTCTAGGAAAGAAAGTTTTATAACTATGAATTGTTCAATATAAATAGTATTGAAAANTATAAATGTAAATTCGTTAACCAACACGATATCCAATAGTACCTCAAATATAAAATCTGAATTAATATGGTCCTTTTGTCTCACCTACATAAAGGACATCTCAAAATTAAAGAGTTGGAACTCCAAATACATTACGTTTTGATTACTAAAGATTGCGAAATACTTAATCAATGCAACAATATCCTATAGTAAAGCAAGCTCCTGTTGTCACTCCATAAAAAGCTGCCATAAAAAAACCACATATTAAAATGCATTAACCTGGACAAACTGTTTCACAATTATAGACTCCCTCTTATGATCCAAGTCTTATGGTTGGACTTATCAAAGAGAATCAAGAAATCAAAGCAAAAATTGCTCAAAAAGAGAAAGAGCTTTAATTACTTAATGAAGAAATTGCTTTGTATGAATAAAAATCATGATATATATTAAAATATTTAATGGCTGATTAAGTGTAGATGTTATAAAGCAAGATTGAAGACGAATCCAAAGTTCTCTAGACTTTGTAAAGAGAAATGTAAAAGTATGTTGAAGGTATAAACTTTTACTCTAATTAAAGGCAGACAAAAACTTATAGAGTAATCTCATGAAAATGAAATGGTCAAAAAGGAACTTGACTTACTTGAACCAGAGGCTAAAGTATACAAACTCATTGCAAGTGTCTTGGTAAACAATATTTGCGATATCTTTCAAAGGTTTAATAAACACTATAAGAGTCCAAAGAGAATGTGAGCAAAAGATTAGATTTCATTGGTAAAGAATTCAAAAAAGTTGAGGATTTAATTAAAGAAAATACAAACAAACAAATAGCCAAGAAAACATCAATCTAAAAAATGCAAGAATAACTTTATCAAATCGTCTAAGCTTATTAGCAATCATTAAATAAATGACAATGTAAAATTTGTTCTAAATACATATATATAATATTTAAATAAATGTATATTATATAAATAATATCTCCCCTTTTGATTAACTAATTCATAGTATTGTTTTAGAAATTTTTATTTATATATTAATCTATCTAAAATCTAAACATAAGGGGATCAATTTATAAGGGAGAATTTCATTATATAAGATATTCTAGGAAAGAAAGTTTTATAACTATGAATTGTTCAATATAAATAGTATTGAAAATATTTAACTTTATTATTGAATTGAGAAAAAGATGATGTTCAGAAATTTGATCATAAAATAGAATATTAGATGATAAAGAATTTTGGTATAGAAAAAAGTAGAATAATAGAAATATGGTGAAGTAAATATAATAATTTATTTGAATTCATTTAAACAAATTTAATATATGTCGAAGAGCATTTCAACAAAAGTGGCATTAGTTTGTTTGAAAACATCTTAGAACATAACAAATCAATCATTACTTTAAGTATTTGGAAAACATGGTAAAATCACAAAGGTAAGTGAAAGATTGATTAAACATAGATATTGATTTTTGAATAAGGTCCAATGTAGACAAAAGTGTTTATTGAATATGAGGAGCCTGAATAAGCCTAAGATGCAATAAAGTATGGAATGAATATAAGTTAGCTGTTTAAATAATACAAAAGTGATGAATAATATAATTTGCAATGTTTATCCTTCTAGGTTAAGGGAACTGAAATTAGATAACGTTCCGAACACAAAAGGGATGGATTTAACCTAGAAGTTACCTTTCAGTATGCCATCTTTATGGGATTTGAATGTAAATGAAGATGAATCAGCATAATAAGTATCAGAGGAGAGATTGGTTGATATTAGAAAGAAGTTGAGTATGATTGATGATGAGATAAGCAGAACAATAGAGAGCAAATTAGACAATGCTTTAATAAAGTTATATCAGCAGACAAAATGTTTAAGTGTTCTGAAGGGAGATTATGGATTAGAAGAGATAATACATAAGACTAGCAAATATGGCAAAATAGTACAGCTGCTGCCACTCCATTAATTTAGGTTTACCTGAAGCAGGCATAATAGGAAGTGTACGTGAAGTATGACTCAGATAAGGAGTGCTAATAAGCTTATGAAGAACTCAAAGACCAAATGATTGTTCAAATCAAGTATAATTTCGAGAGCATTCCTGGTTACGTGATGGTGAATTCAAATTCCTGAAACACCCTCTCTCAATTTATAATTTTATTTAATTTAATGTGGTTGCATCCCGAAACAATGATTAAGCTTGGTAACGAATTCTTTCAAAAGAAGGAATTTGATTAAGCCATCAATTGGTATCAACAATCTATAAACAAAAATACATAATTTGTAGAGGGATACTACAATCTAGGATTAGTTTATATGTATCGTAAGAAATTTGAAGATGCAATCAATTACTTCAAATAATCTTTAGATTTGAGACCAAGCTTCCCTGAAGCCTTGTGTAGTATGGGAATTGCATTATACAATCTTAATCAAGTAAGAAGTTATCATTCAAGTTAATTAGTATGATAAAGCTTTGAACTATTTGGATTAAGCATTAAAACATCGTTAATCTTATCCTAATCCTTTAAAGTATAAAGGAGATACTATAAGGAAGATGGGTAATTTATAAGAGGCAGTCAATTAATATAAATAAGCAATATAACTAAAGGTAACTGTTTTAATTAATCTATATTTTAGCCTGACTTTTATTAAGCTCATAAAGCTCTTGGTGATACCTATCGTAAATTGAAGGAATATAAATTGTCAATCTAATCTTATGATAATGCATTAGAATATAATTAAAAGTATGCAGAGGTTTTCAAAAAGAAGGCTGATTCATTGAGAAATTTAGGGATATTTGAGGAATCATTATAGAATTATACAAAGGCAATAGAGATTAGACCAAGTTATCCTAAAGCGTATAATGATGCAGGATTGTTATTCATTTAGAATAGTAAATATAAAGATGGTGTAGAATATTTTTAGAAGGCTGTTTAATTAAAATAAGATTATAAGGATGCATACAATAATTTAGGTGTTTGCTATTATCATCTTTTATAATATTAAGATGCTATCACATAATTTGATACAGCACTTTAAATATAAGTTGGTTTTTCAATTCCAATGCTGAATAAAGCATCGACATTATTAAGAATGAAAAAGTATGATGAAGCTAATAAATGTTTTGATTAAGTGATGAAGCATTAACCAAAGAATGTTTAAGTTTTATTAGGTAAAGGAATCTCTTTATATGAGACTAAGAAATATGAATAGGCTGCTTTATTGTTGAGTTAAGCTTATGATATTGATGCAAATAATTTTGAAGTAGTTTTTAATTATGGAGTATGCAATTTTTAATTAAAAAAATATAAAGAAGCTTTGTAATTATTATAGGAAGCATAGCAATTAAGAGAAACTTTAGAAGGACACTTTAATTAGGCAATTTGTTCATTATATTTAAAAGATTATGAGTATTCAAAAAAGGAAATTGAAATGTATGTTTTACATTAAGAAGATGATATGGAAGCTAAGGCAGTTTAAGGTATTGTAGAATATTATCTTAATAATCTTGTTTTTGCTTAAGAATGTTTTTTAGAAGTTTTAAAGAAGTAAGAAAACTAAGTTGTTCATAATAATTTAGGAGTGATTTTGTTACTTAATTAATAATTTGATGAAGCTCTAAAACATTTTAATGCATCTGTATCAGGTAAAGGTGATTATGCTGATGGATTATATAATAAAGGAGTTGCTTTGTGTAATCTTAATTAATATGAGGATGCTATTAGATAATTTAATAAAGCAATTTAATTGAAACCTAAAAATGAATGTAAATTCGCATTCATCAATAGAGGTATTTGTTTGAAGAATCTAAAAAAATTTAATGAAGCTATCTAAAATTATGATGAAGCCATTTAACTTAGTTAAGGTACAGATGTAGAAGATATCTACTATTTTAAAGGTAATTGTTTATTAGAATTGAATAAATATGAAGATGCTATATAATTGTATGATCAAGCTATTCAATTAGAAAGTGTTTATAGTTCATCAGCCAATTTCTAAAAAGGTATTGCATACACTAATCTTAAACATTTTGATGATGCAATTTAATCATATTAGCATGCAATTGAATAGAATTCTTAAAATTCATGGGCATATTTCAATTTGGGTATTACTTATTATAATCTTGAAAATTATGAATAAGCTTTAATATAATTCACAAGATCCTTTGATTTATAACCTACTTTTAAAGATGCTGTATTTAATGAAGCAGCTGCTTATATCAAATTAAAAAGATATGCTGAAGCCATTGACAGTTTAGATAAATATAATTAATTAGAAAATAATGACTATGAAAGTTTCTTCCTAAAAGGTTGTCTATTAAAATAATTAATGAAATATGATGAAGCTTTAGAATGCTTTTCGAAAGCTGTTTAATAAAAGCCTAACTTTTTTGAAGGATAATTCAATAAAGGAGTTACGTAATTAGAAAGTGGATTATCTAAAGATGCTGTTATTACATTTGATGCAGCTTTTAAATTAAAATCAGATTCAGAGAAATCTCTCAATAATAAAGCAGTTTCCTTACTTAATTTAAGTAAACCTGAAGAGGCTATTAAAGAATTAGAAAAAGCAATCAAATTAAGTCCTAATAATCCTACCTTAATGAACAATAAAGCAGTTACTTTAATAGATTTAAAAAGATAGGATGAAGCTTTGATTATCCTAGATGAAGTTATTAATATTGATCCAACTTTCTTTAAAGCTTATAATAATAAAGGAACAATCTACTTCAATTAAAAGAATTTAGCTCAAGCTTAATAATACTTTTCAAAAGCCATAGAAATCAATCCTTAATATGATTCTGCAAGAATTAATTTAAGTATTACATTTTAAGAAATGGGAGAACATTAATAAGCAGTCTAATAATGTGAATTAATTTCAAATTAATAATGGCTCAATAGTAATTCTGAAGCATTGATTGCATTTGCTACTGCTTTAAGAAATTGTGATCGTTTTGAAGAATCCAAATAAAAATATGAACTATCTTTATAATTAAATCCTAGACATTCTTAAGCCTAAAATGGTTTGGGAATAGTTTATTCAAATATTGGATAATATGAAGATGCACTTAAATGTTATGATTAAGCTATTAATCTAAATAATAGATATCCAGAGGCCTTGAATAATAAGGGAGTCGCTCTTTATCTTATGGGAAGATATGATGAATCTGTTTAAATGTTATAGTAATCTCTAAAATTAGAAGTCAAAAATGCATAAACACTTAATAATTTAGGAGCTTCTTTATTTTACTTAAAAAGATATGATGAAGCTAATAAAATTTTTGATTAAGCTATTTAATAGAATGATCAATTAATGGAAGCACTTGTCAATAAAGCTAATGTTCTTATAGCTTAAGAAAATTTAATTGAAGCCAATAAATTATTATAAAAAGCAAGTTAAATTAGAGATTCTCCATATATTCATAATGCTTATGGAATAATTGCTTAAAAATAAAAATAAAATGATAAAGCTATTTCATCTTATTAAATGGCTCTTTAATTATTACCAACATTCCCTCAATGTCTATCTAATTAGGCTACTCTTCTTATAGAAACTGAGAAATATTCGCAAGCATTAGATTTACTTAAATAAGCTCTAAGGGCTGATTAAAATAATGCTGAAGCTCATAATAATCTTGGTGTATTGTATTATAAATAGAATAAACTTGAATTATCTTAAAATGAATATATGGAAGCTATTAAATTAAAGGTTCATAATCCAGAAGCTCATTCTAATTAAGGAGTTATCTTTTGTGCTAAATAGGATTATTCTCAAGCTTTATAGTGTTTTGATGAAGCTATCAAATTAAAAAGTGATTTCGTTAAAGCTTATCATAATAAGGGAACAACTTTATATGAAAAAGAAAATTTTAAAGAAGCTGTCGAAATTTATGATAAAGCTATAAAAGCTAAAACTCAAGATCCAGAAACTTATTATAATAAGAGTATTGCTTTGTAAGGCTTAGAATAATTTGATGATGCTCTTAATGCATTAGAATAAGCTTATAAATTAGCTCCAGAAATGGCTTTATTATATGTTGAAAAAGTACTTTTTTATATATATTATAGGGTACTCTTATGTATAGGAAAGGTAAGGTAGATGAAGCTATTAAAAATTATGATCTTGCTATTTAATTATAACCTAATTGCGCTGAAGCTTACTACAATAAAGGATGTGCATTAGAAAATCAAGGAAAAATTGATGAATCTAATAAGAACTATGAAAAAGCTTTTTAAATCAAACCAACTTTAGTAGAGAAGAAAAAATGATAAATACGATTATTCTTATTAATATTATTATTTAATAATATGTCCAATGATTTTGAGATTAAACGTTCTGCACTGTCTATCTCGACTTCATCCTTTAATGCCTTCTGTGAAGAATTAGCAAAAAATGATAATAAAATAGAAGCTCATCCATTAAGAGGATGGATGAAAAAAAAGAGTCCCGCTCTTTTAAAAGGATGGCAAAAGAGATATTTTATGCTTATTGAAAATCCTTAAGATAAAACTTGGAAATTAGCTTATTTTGATAATGATGTAATAAAAACTAAAATTGTGAATGTAGAAAACTAATACAAGACCCAATGGTGCTATTGATCTTTCAACTATCACATCTATTTCATAAGTATCTAAAAAAGAATTCACTATTAATTTACCAGGCAAAAAATTAGAACTTAAAGTTAAACCTCAAGATGTGTACCAAAAATGGATTAATACTCTTAATGAACTTCGATTAACAAACAATCAAGAAAGAACTAAACGATAACTTAGTATTGAATAAAATATCAAAATCTCTAATGATAGTCCCAGTAAAAGTAACACATTTATATATATTTTGTAGTATCTACAAATCAGAAGAATTTTGATACACTCACTGTTTAGTAAGCATAAACATAAAAGGAAAAATAACGTAATTCAATATTAATTGAACCAACTAAAGATAATAAAAAGAAAAAAAATAAAGAAAATTTAAATCAATTATCTAATGAAAAGATGATTGAGCTGGTTGGATTGAAAGAATATATTAAAAATATGAATGAATAATTTATTTATCAAAGAATGATTTATGGCTATTTAGGTAAGAGAAGTAAAGGTAAAGTCAAATATTTTCAAAAAAGATGGTTTATTTTAGTATCTGCTAAACCTTTAGTATATATTTATTTATATTATTATAGTATTAAGAATATAATGATGAAAAAATCTTGACAGAAGCATAATTACCTCCATGGTTAGAATTAGATACAATAACTTATTTTAAAGAAAAAGAAGAAGGCAAACCACCAAAAGCTAAAGGAGATGTTCGTATGATTGATTGTTAAGAGATTATCATAAAAGATATGTCAAAATCAAAAGAAAGTGGATTTACTTTTAAATTGAATATGGGTGATAGATTATATCATTTAATGGCAGATAGTGAATAAGAACGTAAAAAATGGTAATTAGCTCTGAGTTTATCAATGAAAACAACTAAAGAAATTCATAATGCATTAAAAATAAAAATAAAAAAAAATATAGATCCTATAATTTAAATATATGATGAAGAACATCAATTAATGATAAGAAGAGAAAAGATTAAGCAAAAATTAGAGTAGGATATATCTAAAATATTGATTCAGAATGATTAGGATTTGACTATATTAGTAAAACAATTAAGTGAGTTAAGATAAGACATGTTAGAATCAATGTAAGCATGTATAGTGAAAGATCCTTAAAGAAAAGATATAATAAAAGAATATACAGATATTTATCATGAAAAGATTTGTGATAGAATCACATTATTTTGGGATGAGCACTATAAATAAATGCAAGTATTTTACACTAAAATGAATTTAGTTACCTGAATTATTACTTTTAGCTTAGTGGCTACATGATTACTTAAATTAGATGAAAGATTTCTTCAATGATGATAGAATCATTTATGGTATTAGAGTTCTATTAAATATTTATGTGAATCGCTCACTTGAAAATTTAGAACCTGTATTAAATACAATCATAGAATAGGAAAAAACATAAGAACCAACTTTCAATGATCAATAGTTATTAATTACTCTCACTCCTGTAGATTTATTTAAAATAATAAATGAAGGATTTGATATGGCATATAAATTATGTCCTTGTAAAGAGATTAGTTAAAAACTTGCTGGCTTTGGTAAAACTATCTTGTAATAATATTAATATGGAATTTAAGAGATGATTGATGAAATACAATTTTCAACATCTAAATTAATAGCTATTTGTAATAATACATTATCTTTGCATGATAATACTAAGAATTATTGTAAAGTACTCCAATAAATTGGTAATTTAAATCAAGAAGAGACTGACAAACTATTTGATAGTTAAAAGATAACTAAAAATTTTGTTTAAATTGCTAATATTTGCAGAGATAAAATATTCTACTTTTATTTCAATAATGTAGGAATGCATTTTAAAAAATTCTACCTCGAACTTTAAATTATTGATATTCTCAAAATTATAATTGAACCAGCAACTGAAACACTCTTTTAATTACATGATAGTTTTAGTAGGAAATTATGGAAATAACTTCTAGATTCAATAGTTCTATATTATTTTAATTAGTTTATTATATCTTGTGGAAAAGCCAAGAAAGAGAATTAAAAAGAATTTAATATCAAATTAGAAAATGATAAAGTTATTTTAATTTAGGAATTAGAAACCTTTATTTTTGAAAAATAGTTACTTGCCTCATTAAAACCATTTGATGATATGATTAATTTTATTAATGAAGATTCACTTAGTATTTTAGATCCATGCAAAAATTTAAGAATGTATTTTGGAAGAGCCTTTACTGAAAAAACAATAAAATCGATAATGTGTATTAGATTTGATTTAGATAAAGAAAAAAAGAAAGATACGATTGATTTTTGTAAGAATTTAATTGATGATATAAACAAAAATGAACCAGTAGAAAATTAGAATAGAATTATGGATGTACTTGGTTAAGAAGAGGAATAAAATTTAGATGAAATTTAGAATCAATAATAGTTGCAATAATTGTAATAATAAGAAAACAGAAGAGCAGATATATTTTTAGATTTTCGTAATGATGATTAATTATAAGTAATATATATTTAAATTAGATACCTGAATAATAAGAGAAAAGAAGTTCAATTGAAAAAAAAGAATTTATAGATGAAGGTTATTTAAATAAAAAAAAACCAAAATAGAAAGGTTGGGATTATAGATATGTGAGAATAAGAAAAGGTTAAATGTATTGGTATATTAATGCAAATTCAAGAGAAGCATAAAATAAAATAAATCTATAAAATATAGATGAAGTTATTGCAAATTCAAAAAAACCAGCTAATTTTAAAATTTAATTAGAAGATTCAAAAATTTATAAATTTAAGACTTAAAGCAAAGAGGAATGTGAATTATGGATTAAATCAATTCTGAAAGAATAGAATTAATTGGATTCAACTGTACTAACAATAGAAGCTATAGTATATATATAATATATTTAGAAAATAGGGAATGGTAAAAAGGCAATTATTTAGGATTATGATGAAATAGCTAGAAAAGAACGTCAATTATAAAAATAAGAAGAAAGAAAGAGAAAGAGAATAGAAAGAGAAAATGAGTATTTTTTGATTGTTCTATAAATTTTAGAATGAAAAGGAAATAGCAAGAACAAAAATTGTTACAACAATAATAACTTAAAGAATTAGGAGATAAGCCTAAATCTAATTAGGTAGAAGCATTTGAATAACAAAGAGAACCAGTAATTAAATATTAATATCATTAGGATTACAATTAAAAGTAATCAACTTCCTGTTGGACTCAATTTTTGATAGCATTAGGAATTGAAAGACCTAAATGATATTATAAGTAACTATTCAAATAAACTCATATTATCTTTATTTAAATTATAATTATTAATACTTATTTTTGCTGAATAAGTTCCTTTATTACAAGAAATTTTAGAGAACATTAATTTCAGATTTATGAATGTATTTGCTTTAACTCTGACTATAATATTTACTATAAATTAGCTGGAAAGTCTCTTTCACTATCTTGATTTGCGAGACATTGATCATTGATGAATCTTATGTATTAAAAAAATAATGAAGTTTTAATTTATTCTAACTTTGATTCTTTAATAGACTTTTCAATCTTTTATGATTTAGAAGGTTAAAAAGCTTCTCTTAATATTTATACTTAATATTTAATAGAAGACTCTTTTTAAGTAGGTGGTTCTATAATATAATATCTCATTCTAATTGAATATTAGTATAATAATTTTAAAAATCAAAATAAATTAAATCTTTCCTTGCTATTAAACATTAATGAAAATAATGCAAATAGAATAAAAAATCAAAAAACAATTGATCTAGGAACAATGTATCCATTAATTACTAAATGTATTCAATATTTGATATTATACTTTTTTATAAAATTGAACAAAAATCTTAAATTAAAATACAAGATGTTTTTCAAATCATTTTAAAATTTCAAGACTTTTAATTCAATTTAATTATAATAATGGATATGAATATGACCATCTAAATTATTCTCATAAGTAGATTATTTAAAAAAGGAATTTAAAATTACAATTTTGAGAAAATAGGTATTTTGACAATTTAAAAGTAATGATCTAATAGAATATTTTAAATTCTTGATTTAAATTGTCTTTTTCATAATCCTAATCTTTAATGTATTAATAATACCTTATTCTTTATTGTATTTTATTTGAATGAGAAAAAGTTTAATTTTTTATTTATTTGATTTTTTTCAAATATCCTATCATTTTTTTGTATTATTGATGTTTTAATGACTAATTTAAGAGCTTATAAATGAAGGTGATTGTTAAGATTGGGTTTGTTTATTTTGAATTAAACAATTTTGATAATTTGATCAGTCATTTGATTGTTATGTAGATTCAATTATTTCAATATGGATGAATATTTTTTATAAATTGACTCGAACTCAAATGACATTAAATAATAATAATTAAAAAAGATTAGGAATCATCTTTTAAAAATAAATCACAAACAATAAAATCCAACTAAAGATTTAAGCCAATGAATATGTACCCAAAGTCTGCTAATATCCATATTCTTTTAATAAGCTATTTCTTACACAGTGTAAGGTTTACCTAAAAATTTAACTAATGATTAATAGAATCGAATTAGTTAAGTAAACTTTTTTTCTCTTTCTCCTTATTTTTCTTTAGCCTTAGTTAATTCTGCAGCTATTTTATTGATTTCATCTTCTACTCTTTTAAAATTCAAAGTAGGATCTTTTTAATACAAATAAACCTAACATTCTCTTATTAATCTAAATCCAATAATATTACAAAATTGACTATCTATTTTCTCTATTAATCTATCCTATCTTAATTCTAAAGAACTCATAGGACATCTTATAAATGAAACATATTATTTCAATGGTATTTTCTCTGCTAACTTTTTATGAGTTTATGTGCAGGCTATTGTAAAATATGAATCATCTGTTATTTTATTCAAAAGTAAACTCATTTAATTTTAATTATTTATCATTATATGGTTTACATATACTTGAATCTCATTCATTGAAAAATAGTATAAATTAGACATTTCTTAAAATGATTTTGTAGGTTGCATTTTTTAAATAAAACTCAAAAATCTCTATGATATATATGTATTATCATCTTTTCCTATAAAATTAGCTAACAATAAGGTTTAATAAGGTTTTATTACTATTGAAATTGGATTTAATACTAAATCCTATTAAGGAGGTGTCATTTATATCTTAATAATATTAATTTTTTACTTGAAAGAAATTTATTAATTTTTTCTTAGTGAATGCATCAGAAAATTGATTCAAATTTTTTCTTAATTCACATTAATCTAAGTATTTTTTAGCAATATTAGTCACATTATCTCTAACTTAAATAGATTTACATTTTTATTTTTCATATTCTGGAATCTATGAATTAATTTCTTTTTCAAATAAACTGATCTATTGTTATTTTTTTTTATTTACATTTTGTATAATATGATTAGACATTCTAGTTAAAGCTTAGGATTCATTTTCTATTTTTTATAAACATTTTTTAATGAATGTCAAATAATATTAGGCATATTAAGAATTATATTAACTTTCCTTTTATATCACCAATACAAGAGTTATGGACAATGGCTCTTTTATATTTTGTATATAGAATATCAAATCTTCTATCATTAATTCATGACATTATGCTTTCCTTTCTTAAGAGAAAAAATCAATTATGAAATTAGTTGAATAACCAAGAAAATTGCTTTTTTGAATGAGTCCAACTATTCTAAATTTAATATTGTATTACAATATTAATATTGTTAAAAAAATTGTGTAATTTTGTCTCTATATGTAACAATGTCAGAATTCTCTCCATCTCTTATATTAAACACCTAATCAAGATTAAATTGATCTTCATTTGCATATAAAATTTTGCGATCTTCATCTTTTGTCTTAATAATTGCAAAAAGAGATTTCATTATTTAATAATAATTTTATAAAATTAAATAGAAATGGGAAATATACTTTATTCAATAAATCTGATAATCTAAGGACATTGAGTAGAAAATCAAAAAAAGTATAAAAGAAAGCTTAAGATTAATTTTAATAATTTGGATTTATTATTATTAGATATACATTCAAAATTAAAATCAAGAATTATGAGTACTTATTGATAGAACAATCAAGTAATATGAGGATAAATTAAAATAATCTATAATCAGATACAAAGTAACCAAATTTATTCTCATAGCTTAAAAGATTGAATTAGAATATTAATCCACATTATTGATTGCTTAAAATAAATTATTTAAATAATATTAGCATAAATAATCATAATTACTGAAAAAATTTAAAATGATCTATTGATAGGCAATATAATTTTCTATTTAACAATATGAAATTAAGATCATTAACTCTTCCTAGAATTAATGGAAAAGATGAATGGCTTATAAGAAATTCTTTTACAAAAATTGGAGTTTAATTGTCAAAGAACTTAATTCCGAATTAAGATATAGTTGAGAATTTAAAGAAGTATTAGTAGTAACATGAATTTAAAGAAAAAGTTTCTAAAGAAGACCTCTAAGTTCAAATCAAAGTAAATGAAAATCTTTATTATAAATATATTAGCAGATGAATTATTAAATGAGATAATTTCTCATGAAAATATAATAATGATATTCTGAAAACTTTGTTAAGTTCTCAAAGATAAATATTAATAATGTTATCCTCAAAGTGATCATGCAAATTTTATAAATTGAAATTATAATAAAATCTAAATATTTTTTATATATAAGTTTTATTATTTGAATATTTATAATAAAATTAGCATCATTAGAAAATAAGAAAAAATTTACAAAATTTTATATCAAAATAATTGAAACTTTTTTTTTAAAAGTTATAAATATAAAACTAAAAATGTTAACAAATTTTGATAAAGTAAATTAGTAAGTGATATTTATGAAGGATAATTTTAGTATTAAAATATGTTTGAATAATAATATTTTTAATAGGTAAAAAAGGATATGAAAATAAAGAAAGATTAATGAATATAATTTAATTTGAAAAAGTAAAAAAATATGAAAAATGCATAATTGATAAAATAATTTATTTATAAATTTTTTGTAAAAAGTGAATGCTTCAAATAAGTAGTTTAAGAGATCGTTTAAAATGCAAGATAGAATTTAGTGAAGATGAAGAGAAAGGAGAAATAATAAGTTTGAGTAGTGTAGATGACACTTTAAGATTTGAAGATAGATATGAATATAAAGAATTATTGGGTATTAAAATATGTAAATGTTCAGGATAGGGAGCGCATGCAGTAGTAAAATTAGCTAAAAAGAAGGGAACAAATGATTTGTTTGCAGTAAAAATAATGAGGATGAACAATGAAGAGGTTTATAATAATGTAAGAAGAACATTTAATAATTCTCGTTGTTTAAGACATTAGAATATAATATAAGAATATGAACTATATATAAATGAGAAATATTATACAGCAAATTTAATAATGGAATATTGTCCATATCCATCATTAGAGCATATCTTGAAAGATAGATAAACTTTAAAGGAAGATGAGGTAAGAATAATTATAAAATAATTATTATTGGCAGTAGAACATATACATAATAAAGGAATAAGTCATAGAGATATAAAACCAGATAATATATTAGTAAATGTAGAAGGGAATTGTGAATTAAAATTACTTGATTTTGGAGTTTCAAGAAGATTCTTATATAAAAATGTGCATCATGATATGTTAACAAAAACTGGAAATATATATTATTGTGCTCCTGAAATATACCATTAAAATAATTATTCAAAAGAAATTGATATATGGAGTATTGGAGTTATAATGTTTTAATGTTTAACAGGAGAATTACCTTTGTAAAATGAAAATGCTAGTGAATATATAGAATTATTAAATAAACCTGAATTATGGAATTTTAAGAATAGAATTCAAGGCGAATCATTAAGTGCTTAAAATTTATTATCTAGATTACTTTAATAAGATCCAAGAAAGAGAATTGGATCATCAGATGCTTTAACTCATCCATTTATAGAAAAAAATAAAATATATAGTACTTTGGCTTTGTTATCATCTACAAAAATGATTGATATTGATGATAATGATGATTTATTTATAAATCGATGTCAATCTCTATAAACTAGTTTGTCAATCAATTAAAAACAAACAATTCATCGAGCATTAAAAACACTTCATCTTGGTTAAGAATATTAATAAATTATACTTGATGATTTAATTTAAGAACTTGGAAATGTTCATATAATATAAAGAAGAAATAGTGATAAATGTTAAGGATTTATTTAATTAGTAAATTCTCTTGGAAATAGTTAAGGAATAACTATTAATAAAGTAGTTGATGTAAATACAAACAATTATTGTAATCTTGGTATTGGATCCACTTAAAGTATTGGTATTTTTATTAACATTCATATATTTTATAGTATCTAATGATTAAACATAAGATTGTTTAGGGGAACTTGGTAACATTCAATCAAGTGTTGATTTAGGAAATGTTGGTTAAGAAATTCAATTCTAATAAGATATTAAAAAAAATAACATAGCTTAAAATATTCATTAAATTGGATCTAAAATTGAATGCAGTATTGATATCAATTTGAATCTCACTGAAAGTTAATAAGATACTGGATTTAATAATAAATTTAATTAAATTGTATCTGCACTTGATTTCTTAGGTATTAAAGAATGTGATGAGGCTGTTGAAGATTAATCATGATATTTATTCAAACTTCATTTTCTTCATTATCTTCATTACTAAAATCATCTTCAATATTTTTTATTTTATTTTTATACAAATACTCTTATTATTGTCGAATCTAAAAAATAAATTATATGATAATTATTTAGATTTTGTTTAAAAAATATTTTATTTTCAAATTAACATAATCAAAATGTATTTAAGAAATTCTTAAAAGAAATCTCAAGCCATATAAAAAATCAATTTCAATAATTTATTAATATTTGTTAACCAACTAAATTTGTTGTCCCAATTATAAAATTACTATCTTATTTAAAAAAATTATTAAATATCATCATTCAAGTTAAAACAACCCTTATTATTCAAAAATCAATAATTTGAAGTATAAATATTAATAATCTATGTATTTCTGTTAAATTTGAACTCACTAAAAATAGAGAATATAATTTTTAACTGACAGAAAAATGAATACATTACTAAAATGATAAATTATCAAACTTATAAATATAATAACACTATACTTAATTTTATTGAAAGAATCCTTGATTTGTATATATTGAACATAATGATTATAATGATTTAAAAATAATATAACTAAAAGAATTTTAGTTACATAATTATATATCACAAATATAATTTATGTTAAGGAAATTGGTTCGATTCTAATTTTGTACTATATAAGATCAAATAAAAAAGCAATAGAATTCTTATAGCAATATAACAGATAAGATTATATAATATGTTGGGAGAGATTTACATAAAATTCCATCACATCCTTTAGGTATAATAAAGAATAGAATCTAAACATTTTTTGAAAATGATGCAATAACAGAGAAGCAAAGTAAATATCCTTTAAAGTACAAAATAATTGATAATTTGTCTCCAATCGTTTCAGTAAAGTAGGTAGCTATATAAAAATTAAAGATAGAATTTTGATTCATTATTAGTACCATCTGATCATCCAAGTAGAAAAAAGAGTGATACTTATTACATTAATGAAAATTAATTGTTAAGATGTCATACTTCAGCTCATTAAGTAGAATTAATAGAAAAGAATATTGATGCTTTTGTTGTAGTAGGTGATGTATATAGAAGAGATGAAATCGATGCAACACATTATCCAGTATTCCATTAAGTAGAGATAGTTAGAATATTTTAATAAGATTAATTCTCATCTAAATATTTGTAACATTAAATTCAAGAATCAATGGATGATTTAAAAGAGACTTTAGAAAGATTAACAAGACATTTATTTGGTGATGTATAAATGAGATGGGTTGAAACAACATTTCCATTTACTAATCCATCAATGGAACTTGAAATCTATTTTTAAGATAAATGGTTAGAAGTACTTGGTTGTGGTGTTATTCATTAAGATTTAATGAAAAATTGTTAAGTATATATTTATATCAATATCAGAGATTAACTGAAGTTGGATGGGCTGCTGGTTTAGGATTAGAAAGATTAGCTTTACTTTTATTCTAAATACCTGATATACGTCTATTTTGGTCATAAGATCCAAGATTTCTTGATCAATTTAAATCTGGTTAAATTAATAAATTTTAACCATTCAGCAAATATCCAAGTTGTTATAAAGATGTTTCTTTTTATGTTGATCATAAAACATGGGAAGAAAATGATTTACATTCTATTATAAGGGATATTGGAGGAGATTTAATTGAAAAAGTAGAATGTGTTGATACATTTTACAATAAAAAAAAAGATCTTACAAGCAAATGCTATAGAATTCATTATAGAAGTTTAGAAAGAACACTTTAAAATGAAGAAATAGATATTTTATAATTTAAAATTAGGGATTAAATTAAAGATCTTTTAAAACTAGAGTTAAGATGAATTATTAATTATTCATAAACAAATTTAATATTAATACATATTAATCTAATCAATTTTATTATAGATTAAATCAAATTTATACTATAAATATTTTTTATAGTAAACAATTATCTATCTTTATCATCTACATAAAAATAATATATTGTATGTCAAAATGAATCAACATCATTTTATTCAAAAAATTATATAAACAATAGTATAAATCTAAGCTATAATTATTAATTCTACTTTATTTTATAAAATTAAATTAATTCTTTAATTTTATAGTGTCTAGATGATATTAAATTAAAATGCCTAAATAATATTTGAACATTTCGATAATAACTGTAAAATTACTATAAGCATTTAATAATAATCATTTAACTCTTTATTCTTATTTTAACTAGATTAATATCTAAGAAACAATTAAAATTATATTTTAGAGATTTTTATTTTAATTTGAAAAAATAATATCTATTTCGGAAAAATGAATTCATAAATTGATGATGGTAGCAAATTTTAGATTATAATAGTATTACATAAAACTTAATTTACTAAAATTGCCAAAAATTCTCCAAAATTCAATTAAGAAGAATGTTTAGAGCCACCATCATTCTTTGAAAGTTTTTTTCTTGACTAATCTGGATAATCAAGCAAATAATAGAAAAATAATATTTAGAATCATATCAATCAGTTTTAATATTAAAATTGCAATCAATTAGCTAAGTAAAATATATCAAATTGCAAAAATAATAAACAAATTAAAAATTAGAATATAAAATGTGCTTCATAAATTGCATTCTTTATCAATTGCATATTAACATTATTGAATAACATTTTCAACGCTTTCTTTGCTATTTTATTTCCTTATATTGTTTTATTGGAAGGAAATGAGAAAAATATTAATATTTGCTATTTTCTATTGTTTTATATTTTTATAATTTCTTTAATTTATACTGTATGCTTATGTATATAAATCAAAAAATAAGAACATTAATCAACTGTTTGCATATTGGATTTGATAAATTATTTTACTATAATCAATATCTTTTTAATTGGACTACTTTTAATCTTTATTATATTGAACATTAAAATTCTAGCAATAATTTTGTCATTTTATTTTTTTTGTGAAGGTTATAATTAGATTGATATGTTTTTTAAATTACTAGTAATTTAAAAAAGTAATTATTTATAATTTATTTTAGAAAAATTGTTTAATTATCTAGCTATTTTTAAGATTATAATTTATTATATTTATTTACTTCATCTATTAACATGCCTTATTTATTCAGAGGATTTCTAACTTAGTTATATAGATTCACTATAAATAAATATAAATTTTTTTACTTTTTAAGCAAATTATTATGCAATTGAATCAAATTTTAATATATCAGTAATGTTTAGTTAAATAGTTGGATTGATTATGTTACTTAAAACTATAGATATTATTATATAGATTAGATTAGATAAAGTTGAAATGTATATTAGACCTAAAATCAATTTACATATTCTACATTATTATATTTGGAAACATTAAGGAAATATAATTGATAAATTAAAAAACTTTTCGTAACTTGCAAATAGTGGTATAATAAAAGAAAAAGTAATTTTAACAAATATATTAGATGATATAAAAGATAATGAAAAGCATTTTTTAATAGATTATTGAGGATTATTTGGAAATTTCTTAAATTTTCACAAAAGAATTTACTATAAATTTATCAGAGCGAATAAAAGTTTTTCGAAAAATGAAGGAGATAGATATGAATATTAATTGTGGTTTGATTATAGTTTTAAGAGGATAAGGATTAATTAGTTATAAAAAGGAAGGATTAAAATTAAATGAATAAAATATGATTGAGAAAGTATTTGGATTGATTGATTGTTTTTAACAGAATGTATCTGATTAAAAAATAAGTTAATATTATTTATTTAATTTAGCATTTAATGATGATTTTTTAGTTTTGTATGTAAGTGAAGAAGATTTTAAATGTTGTCTAAATTCAAGTTAAGATATAGTATGATATATTAAATATTAAGGAAATATATCATATGATTAAAAATAGAATATAATTTGAAGGAGATACATCTTTTGTCAATTATAGATGTTTAATTTGTTAAGGATATCATCTGATGATGAGATGTTAAATTTAAAAAGATTTTTAAGATTTGATTTTAATGAATTATAATGAATAGAATGATCGCATAAAATGGGAAAGAAGTAAGAAACGTAGATCATATGCTCATGAAATACATAGAGTATATATTTTATTAATGATTTAAAGAAAAAGAATAAATAATAATAATAGATTAATGTAACTCTAAATTCCGAAAGTGATGTGAGTGAGAATAATAGTAGTAGTGAGAAATTACAGATATATCTAGATGAATTAAGTGAAAATTTAAAGTTTTCAGAAAAAAATATTATTGCTGGTAATAGCAAAGGAATTATTAATCTACCTACTATTTAAAAGATTTCAAAAGAAGTGCTTGGTGATTTTATTTCAGAAAAGATTTTGTTGGATTAAATAAAATAAAATTATTAACGCACTTCCCTTTAATAATCATTGATTTAACCTGGAAGTTAATAAATTGGAGATTGTTTTAAAACAGATATTCGTAGTTAATAGTTATATCCTTCTATATATAAATTTCAAGATATTTTAGCAATCGATGACATTGATACTATAAGAGAATATGTTTATTTCTATCCAGAATTCAACATCAACTATATAATTTCATTGTTATTATTACAAAAATGATTTTTATATTTTTATTTTAATTTACTAATTAATATGTAATAATAAAAGAAAACTCAACCTCCTGCTGTTTTAAATAGAACAAGATCTCTTGGAAAATAATCATAATAGAAGCCATAATAATAATAATAATAATAATAATAACCAAAATAAGGTTTTACTTAAATGCCTAGTTAAAAATTGACTAATATTAAAACTGTGGATCCTTTTTCTGATAAATCAAAATAAAAAACGTAGACTTAAATTATAATAAAGAAATTCATTTGCTTATGTATATAATGCAGGTGGAATTCCTTGTAGAGTTAATCATGGTTGTAATACAATGAAATTATAATGGAATCAAGGAGTTGAAATATCTCATTTACCTTATGATCCATTAATGGTTACATGTTTTGAAGGCTTAATTGAAGAAGCACATCCATACTGTTTTATTGCAACTAATGCAATTAAAGATATGCTCAATGAATAAGTTTAAATTTAAATTTATATAATCTTTTAGAATGCACAAGAAAAAGTCATACCTATATTACCTAAAGTCGTTTGGCCTCTAAGAACAGCTTTATCTAGTTAAAATGATAAAGTTTTTATGTCATCTTTGGAAATCTTAAAGTAAAAACTACTATAATTAATTATTTAAGATTACTCTCCAATACTATAGGTTCTCATCTTAACAGTCACCTTAAAAATCTTCTAGTTCCATTAAGTAAAAGAATGGATAAAAAGAATTAGAAGGAAGTTATATAAGATGTATTAAGATAGATACAAGAAAATGGGGTAAAGATATTGTATCATAATTTAAAGGGACCAGATACATTGAAATTAATTAAAGCAGCAATCCCTACTTATACAAATATGTGAGAATTTTAATTTATATAAAATATTATAATTTATATTCAGTTATGAAGGCAGAAGGTGGTCTTATATTAATTTAGAAATATACATAAGAAGAGGATTGTTTATTTTGTTAGAAATATGGGAGATTACCAATTATAAAGATTAATTTTGGTCCACTTTTGAATCGAGTATAAAAATTGTAAATTAATTTTCAGGCACTTTATACTAAATATTCATAATCTTAATGGTAAGGTAAAAAATTTGAAGATTTCTTTTCAATTAAGTCGATATAATGGGTTATATAATTTAAAGATTAATTAAATTATGATGAGTAAGACGAATATTTAAAGAGGTATTTTTTAATAAGAATTTATTTAATAGATATTATTCATATAATGATTAATAAAATAAATTTGATCAATTATTAGAATATTATAAATATCATAAAGATATTCCTCGAATGTTTTTACCTCGATTATCAGATCTAGCTTTATATTTTTATGAGAAAAAAAAGTATTTATAAAATATAATTTAGATAATTAGAGTATAGAAAAATAAAAATATAGCTTGGTATTCCTATTGATGACATTAGCAATTGCACATGTATTTAATTGTATAATGATTAGAATATGAGAAATTAAAGGAAGACATTAAAGTTCTCGACAATCTTACATAATAAACATAAGTATCCACCCTTTCTATATTAAGAGATATATTGAAATCAAAAGGAAGTGAAGAAATTGTAGTAAATGATCTTTAATATTTAGAATATTGATGCTACTTGGATAACAATGATAAACAATTAATAACCTAAAACATAATAGCCATCTAATTTAAAATTACTCAAGTAATTGATTTCTAAAAATACTTAATTTTATAAAGATAAATAACATACAAATGGTCCTGGATTAAGTAAAAGAACGATATAGAATTCCCCTTAATAAAAAGTCCATTTAAAAACTCTTTCTAAAGATGCTTCTTAAAAGTCTTTAGTATCCTCTCATAAACTCATTAATAATAGCAATGGAGATACTGAATTTTAAAAGTTTTTAAGACAGTAAATGGTTGCAGTCAACAATTCTAATCCTTTCAATTAAAATAGTGCTAAATAATAATCTAAACCTATAATTTAAACTAGTTACCAATCCAAATAAAATAGTATGCATCACATAATTAATACAAGAAGTATCTCATCTGAATAACTTAAATTAATTTAAGCCCAATAAATGCTTAAACCCAATAATCCAAACACTAACAATTAATAATCTCAACATAAAAAAAGTTAAACTCAAACTCATTACACTGAAATCAGTTCTCCTATTAAACACAAAAAACAAGCCTCAAATAAATTATATACTAATATAGGAATAGACTTTAAATAAGCTTTAACTCAAACAAAATCTACTAATAAATTATTTAAAGTCTATACTTCGTAATCATCCATTCCTTTATCAGCAAATATTAACATTAATATTAATTAATTAAACATGAACAACCTCAATATCAAATCTTAATTTTAATAATATAAGGCTATGCTCGAAAGTCCTAAAGTTAATTCTAAAAAGAAAATTCATTCTAATGTAGAAACCTAAAGAATCAACAATTATAGTGCTTAAAATGATACTACTCCTTTAAAAAAAGCATAAATCTCACTTCAATAATTATATGCTTAAAAAATCAAATCAAAAAATTAGATTTTTAAAAAATGAACACTCTAATTTAATTTAAATAGAATTTTTATACAAATTTAAAAATTTAATCATATCATGACACTACCAATTTATAAAAGTTCAATATCATTTATTTAATATAAAGTAACTGGGTATATTTGAATATAATCAGTTGCACTTATAAATTGTAATCGATAACTTCGATATGCATTTTCACATAATGAAAATTTACAAACTATATATACCTTTAAATATTTTCTACTATTCGAACTTTTGAAATAAATGTCTCTATCGTTTCTTTTAAAAATTTGTTTATTTAGTAACAAAAATTCTTTGTTTCTATAAGTTCCATAAATTTTAATTCTTTTCACTTAAAATATATCAATATCACTATTATAAAAATTCTAGTAATCAAATTAATTCACTTTGATATGAATTAGAAATAAGTTAACAATCTATGGTTTCGTAAACTTTATTTTAAGACTTTCTGATTCATGAAAATTATAAAAATCTCCATTCATTGTAATGGAAAATTACGCTTCATCAATCAAAATTTTGGGATTAACATGAAAATTCTAAATAAAAAATGATAGATACAGAGGATTGATAGATTTCGACAGTAACATTTTCAGGATATGAAAGTTTTTATATCATCAGCTATTTATCATAAAATTTTGTTATTATTTTCAGATCAGAATTGTTTTGGTTTATAGTATGATTATCAAATACTTCTGGATAAGTAATTGGTTTAGCTGGTTTTATATTTGAGTGTCTTATCATCTACACAATAATGAATATGCTTAGTAACAAATGTAGTATAATCCTTATTTTCATTATAAATATTAGATCACTTCATAATTTATAAATATAACATTAGTAAATATTATATATATTAAAATTAATTAATGTGAATATAAACAACACTAATGGTTACAACTAATTCTAGTTTTAAAACTTTGCTATCAGAAATTGTAGTTTTTAATTTTAGCTAAAGATTATTTTTAAACTTAGTGATCATTTGAAATTTGCTTATAAAATTATTTTAATATATATATATCAGCAAAATTATTTAAAATGGGAATATCAGAGTCGAAGAAGGAAATTAAAGGGGAAATCACATTCATTTTGGAAAAAAAGAACTAAATCTGTGGTGAATTAATAAATGGGACTGTTGAATATTGTGTTGAAGATTCTGAAACAAAAGCTTTCATATAACTCATATGTGTAGTAGAAAGATATTTCAAAAAGGAAAGGTTATATTCAGAAGAGTCAATAGAATAATGTTTAATGTTGAGTTCACCTAATCAAAATGGTATTATAAAAGAATCCTTTTCTATTATGACTCCTTAATTATAAAGTATTGAGTTTCGTACATGGAATCAAGAGGAATAGATTTATATAAAATATTTTATAAGGAGTTATTTAAATTTTTAGCATCATAATTAAATGGAAAAGTAAAAGTTGAAAAAGATGAAGGAAGAACAAATTTTTATAAAAAGAATTTATGAAAACAATATATAAAGTTCTATAAAATAATTTTCATATTCAACAAAGTCATGGGTTTTAGGGAATGATTAAGTAAACTAATATATTAATTATAGAAAATATTTTTGTGGTATGATTTTCAAAATAAAAATTTTAGATAAAATGAAAGATTGTTTTTTTGGTTAGGAGTTGATAATAGAAATACAACAATAAATATTGAAAATATAAAAGCATATTTGATTTTCGAAATATTAGAACGTGAACTTTATTGGAATATAATAGCAAGAAGAATTTTATCATGTAATAATGAAAAAATAAAGGTTCCTTATGGAATTGAGAATAATTTTAAAATAAATCTTAATATTCCTAATAATAGTCCAACAGCAATTTTTTCAAAAAAGATTAGAATGTGTTATCATGTTGAGATTGTATTTGAATTTGAGTATATGGGTTGTGGAAGGTAATAATACACAGAAAGAGTATTGATTGATGTAGTAAATTGTGAAAATTGATGATATTCATTTCCAAACTGGTTTGCTATTAATTATTGATTAAATAATGCTCTCATCGTTTTTAATTTAACCAGGAGATGGATATCTCCATCCTTTATTTTTACTTGTAGCAATTAATTAATTTGGTTTTGGAATGTTATTGCCTAATAAATTAGGAAGATAGAAGAAATACCTTTTACTAAGGGTGAATATTATCTATAACCAAGTCCAGTGGTTGGTTTTAACAAATTAGGCATAGGTAAGAGTTCTGGCTAACTAAAATAAATTAAAATTTTACGCATAAGCTGATCTTGGTCTTTCACTAGGATCTCTTTTTTATTATTTCATGGATTAAGATTTCCCTGATAATTTTTATTTTTATTCTTAATGCTTTTTCAGACTATCATTCTATTATCTTTTTATGGTTCCACTACTTGGTTTGATAAGAGACAATTATGCAGTATCTCTTGAGTTTAAACTAGTGTTACATTTTTCTTGTTCTTCTTTTAAAGTTACATAATTATTAACTGTTACATGATAAACATTTCCGTTTACATTATTTTAGTTATTTAATTTAACATTTGGCTTTGTAGTGTTCTATTTCATTTTCTTCTAAGACTTTTTAACCAAAGTTTCATCAGCCCATGTTATGGTTCTAGGTCTATTTTCATTTAAATATTAATTAAATAATCTTCTATCTAACCAACATGAATCAGCTGCACTTGATTTTGAATTCATAAATGTATTTCTTAATAGCTTTTCATCTTCTTCAAGAGGAAGATCCAATTCTTCATGAGGTTACCATGAACTTGATAATCCTCCTTCACCTTTCTTATTTAACTTTTATTCCAATTATGTTAATTAATGATAAAAACTAGCTCTTATTTCTAAATCAGGTCTTCTAGTATTCAAGAACTCAAGAGTCTTGTATAATTTCCATTTATATTTTCTCATAAAAAATGCTGCTAATGCACAACAAGATCTTGATTAACCTCTAACTGAATGTACTAAGACTGATTCACCATTACCATGTGCTTATTCTATAAAATGATATATATCATTCACTAGTTCATTCTAAAATAAAACTTACTGGTTCAATAGATTTAATAAATACCTGCTCATTCTCCAACCAATTAAATTTTAGATATGAAACTCCATAATTTTCGAATACACAAGGTAATTGTTTTGCAGCACAATTTATTATATGACTGACCTTATTTTATATCACAAATTCAAGATCCTTACATATTAATTAGATACAATACTTTAGATGCAAATTCATCCCCAATAAAAAGTCCATCCTTAATTTTAATTGCACCAATTATCATTTTTTAATTATAAATTATTTGAAATTTGAATGATGGAATAATTGCCTAAATTAAGTGAAATCCATAAAGAATTACAATATTATACTAGATATTTTTCAGAAAACAAACTCTATTAATCTAGTAAATGGACAGGAGAATTGCTTTTAGGATTAACCTAAGAAGAAGATCTATAATCTTCCTAATTTGCCATGTAATTCATTCAAAACAACACAGATTATACATATTAATTTTTAAGAGAGTTTGTACCTGAGAACAATGATATCATAAGTGTGGCAAGAAACTTATTTGACTTGAGAGAGTTCAAAAAATGTGCTTCTTTGGTATAAAATTTGATTCACAAAAATGAATCAGCAATGTTTTTATATTACTATTCATAATATATGTATGGAGAGTTAAGAAAAGAAGAAGAAATGTTTGAGAATGAAAACTCAAAGACAGCTACAAATCCAGAATTAAAGTTATTAGATAGAGAGCTATCAAAATTATATGATCAAAAATAATTATCATAAGTATAATATTTAAATATAATCTTAGTTAAACCTATATCTTTATGGATTAATTCTTAAAGATACTTTAAGACTTCGAGAAGCCAAAGAAATTTTTGTATAAGTTTTGAATTAATTACCATGTTTTTGGAGTGCATGGTTAGAACTTTGTAGATTAATGGTTGAAGAAGATTCAATTAATGAATTACCTAATCATTGGATGAAATTCTTTTGGATCTCTAATTTTAATTTAGAAAAGTTTAAAAATGCTAATTGTGTAGAATCTCTTTAACTTTTATTATATTACTTTAGAAATTCTAATTTTATTATTAATTAGATTGCAAATGCTTATTATAATAATTAAGAATTTGAATTATCATTGGAATGGTTTGAAAGATTATTGAGCATAGATCCATATCGATATGAAAGTTTAGATACATATTCAAATATATTATATATAAAAGAAAATTAAGGAGAATTAGCAAATTTAGCATTATAATCTTTTACTAATAATAAATATGTACCTGAAACATGTTGTGTAGTAGGAAATTATTATTCTTTAATGAATGAACATGCAAAAGCAATAAATTATTTTTAAAGAGCATTAAAATTAGATAAGGATTGTTTAGCTGCATGGACATTAATGGGTCATGAATATTTAGAAATGAAAAATGTTGCTTCAGCTATATAATCATATAGAAATGCAGTTGAAATTGATCCAAAAGATTTTAGAGCATGGTATGGATTAGGTTAAACATATGCTTTATAAGGAATGAATTAATATGCTCTATATTATTTTAGTAGAGCTGTTGTTAGTAGACCGAAAGATGCTAGAATGTGGAATGCTATGGCTGAATGTTATGATAAAATGGATAAAAAAAATGAATCTATGAAATGTTATGAAAGAGCTAATTCATGTAAAGATAAAGAAGGAATTGCTATACATCAATTAGCTAAATTATATGATGCAGTTGTAATATGATTTTATCTAAATCTTAAGGGTAAAGAAGAAAAAGCTTTATTCGCATTTGAAGAAAGTTTAAAGAGGAAAGATGAAGAATAAGCTGTTGATAAAGAAGTCTCTGAAGCACTTTTATATTTGGCAAGAGCTTTCTTAAAAAAAGGTGATAAAGAAAGAGCTATGTAAATGGCTAAGAGATTATTTGATTTTAATGGACCAGAAAGGGATGAAGCTAATTTAATCATGAATTAATTGAATAAATGAAATTTTTGTGTTTTTGATATCATCCATAAATAATAAATTATTAATTGATTAATATATGTAAAATCTGAAATTGCATCTTGATTTAGAATTTCATTTTTATTATTAATATTATATGATTAATTCAACAACTTCTAGAGTACGTAATGACAATGAAGATTAAAATCATCGTCTAAAAGTTCTTGAAATTAATGCACATTAATTCTATACTTAATTAAAAGTAACTCATTTTATCAATCCTTTAAGCCATTATTTTCAGAAAATACTTAATTGAAACAAAATCTTATAGAGCTTAATGTGTACATAGAGGAAAGAAAAATGCAACTGTGCAAGTATTTATCAGATGTTGGACCTAATGGAGAAGATTTTATTCTTCTCAAAGCAGTTGGGGATTTACAACAGATTTGTGATTTAATTGGAGGTACAAATAATAAATTATTTAGATGAAATATCAAGACTCAAAACATAAATAGTCTATTAAATTGAAGTTTAATAAGTTAGCGAAAAGAGTCTTAAGGAAGTTAGATAAGATTTACAAAGGGAAACAGAACGGTTCCTCAATGAAAAATAACTCCTTATTGATTAAAATACAATATCTCAATAAACGCATAAACAAATAATTGAGAACCTTAAATCTCAAAATGATATACTTGTAAATTTGCATCAATTATGAAGTTAATGAAAAATGAAGATCTTTAATCAGCATTAGTAAGATAATCTGAACTAGAAAACAAATTAAGAATCAATTATAGATTTAAATTGGAAGAGGAGATAAAATCATTGACAAATTAATTGAATCATCTTAAAATTACTAAATAAGAAGAGGCAGATAAGTATGATTTAGAAAGGAGAATATATTTGAAATAATTAGAATAATTTAGTGGAAAATTAAAATAAGTTAAATAAGATGTCATTGATGAATATGAATATAAAATGGCTACTTAAAAAGTCAAATTTGAAAATTAACTCAAAATAACAAAATAAGAAATTTCAGATTTGAAATATTCTAATTCATAGCTATTTGAAAAATAAAAATTATGGCTTTTATAATAAGAAGTACTGATTGATCAAAAGTATAAATTAGAACTTTAAAATAAAGATTTAAAAAGTTTAATTGCTAAACTTGAAGAAAAATTGATTATTTAAGAAGAATTAAGCATTTAAGCATAAAATGAGATAAATTAATAAAAGTATATTACTATTTTTAATTTTAGATCTGCTATTAGCGTTCTCAAATAATCTACAAATTAAAAGAAGAAAAGTATGTAAGGTTCTCAAATCAATTCATAATCTCCATAGAAATAATAATCAAAATCTCAAACCCCTATATAAGATTAAAAAACTTAATCTACTTCATTATGGTAGAAGGCAGCAAATGCTGTTAAAAAGCAGACTAAAGATAATTCAAAAATGACAGATTCTTAAAAATTAGCCCACTCTAATTTACTTGATAAAAATACTAACAATGAATAATTTAATTAAACTATATAAATAAGGAAGTTGGGTTCAATTTAAGAAATCTAATTTGAACATTTTTCATCAGCTACATTATCATAAAGAGCTGAGTAAAACTTTAAATTTGTAGAAGCTGCTACATAAACAGAAGAATAAACCAATAATTAAGCAGCAGCATCTTCTCGAGGTAGAATTTCATCAATTCGAAAAAATAGATAATAATTTGTCTAATAATTTTAATATAATCATGTTGAAACATAATATGAAGCTGAATTAAATGATAACGATTATTACAACTTTAAATTAGAATTACTAGTTTCTTAATTATAAAATAAAATTCAAAGTATTTAAGCTATGTGTGATTTAAAGTTAGAATAGAAAAATTAAGACATAGAAGATTTAAATAATCAATTATAATCTTAAAAAAGTATCTTTGAAGGGCAATATAAATAATTAGAAATTGAAATGAATCTTTTACATAATGAAGAATTGGAATCAAAGATTTTAACTATTTAAAATTTAAAAGAAACTATTGATTAAAATATCGAAAAAATAAAAGGCTTAGAAGAAGCCATTAAGCTTTTTGAAATAAATTAAGAAAATGTTCATTAAAAATATGAGGATATTCTGAATAAAAAAGATTAAGATATTAAGGATATTGAAAACAAAATATAAGAGAATAAACTTATGGCAGAATAAGAATAATCTAGATTATTATAAATTAATTAAAGTTAAAGAGAAGAATTTTAATTAGAATTGCAAAATCTTAAAAATTAGCACACTTTAGATGAATAAAGGCTTTTATAAGAAAAACTAAAATATTAGGAAGAGAAAGCTACTATTGATAAGACAAAGTAAGACAATTAATAAATGCTTGAATAAATTTAAAAGAAGGAATTTATTTTAGAAAATTATAAATCTGAACTAATTAAAACAAATGAGGTAGTGAAGTATCTTCAATTAGAACTAGAGAATTATAAAAAATTGAATAATATCTTTAAATCTAAAGATGAGGGTCCTTCTTAATTGATTACGCATGGTTTTTTATCTTAAGAAACATAAGAAAGAATTAAATAAAGATTATAAAAGTCAAAAATATCAAAAGATAATCCTAAATTTGGATTTTAACCAAGAGATGCTTATAGTATGAACTTTTAAATTTAAAGAAAAGAAAGAATGAAACATGCTAAACTTGGAACTTTAAATACAAGTTTTGATGATAAAAGCATTTATTCGTAAGTCATAAAATATAATTAGAACTTAAAAAAATGTTTTCAGATTTAAAATGACCGATGATGATAGTTAAGGAATGCTGTAAGTAAATTCAAGAAGAATGTAATCATAAGATGATAAGCCCAACAGTGAAATAAAGAAAAAATAAAAATCATTTAAGCAAAATTAAAGAGCAAGTTTATAATATATTTATTCTATTAGAAACATAAATTAGTGATTATTCAGAATCAAAGTTGTTAATTTAGGATATTTTTGAAAAAGAGATAACTGTACTTAATAGAAGTAATTAGCTTCTAGGCTAATTAAATGATCAACAAACTAAGTTTAAGAGTGTTCACAGCACTTATAATTCTACAAAAAAGAAATTTATCTAAAATCGTTGAAGTAGTATAATAAACAATTCTCAAATTAGTTGGATCTCATTCATCATAACAACATAAATACCCCCTAGGTTTTTAATCTGTTTCTTTCATCTTTTGAAAAGTTTTCAGTTCTTAACTATCGAATTTTTCATTTATAATCTCTGTATTCTAAATATTGTTTTTTTTGTGGATTTATTTTTTCTTTTTCACTTTTTGGTGATATCAGTGATTTACAAAATAAAGGATCGCTTCAAAATGATGAAATCGTTTAAGAATACAACATTATTTATTTTTTTTTCAAAACCAAAGATTTCGTCTTTGATTGATGTAATTTTTAATGTTCATCAAATGCTAGGCAAATTTAATTTAAAAGTATGCGAAAGGTCTTTCATCGGATTTTCATACTCATCTATTCATATAAACTTAAATCATTTAAAAGGAAAAAAATTTCATTTCTGCTCTTTTAAAAGTTTAATAGAATTCTCCAAAAACCATTTTTTAAAATTCTCTAACTATTTTACTCTTAGTTACTATAATTTTTCTATTAAATTATCAATCCAAGTAACTCTATATTGGAATTGTATAGTTTCCTACTTTTTATTCTTATGTTTCAATTTTAATTACTGGATTAAAATTTGCTTTAAACATTATTTGAACTTTCAATACGAAACAAATTATTAGGAAAGTGTGTTAATTAAATATTTCACTCTTTTAAGTTTGAAACAATAATTTTATTACTATTAAATTAGATCTTATAAAACAATAAACCCTATACTGAAGAACTGCTTTATTTATTCTGAAATGACTAAGTATTTTTATTTAAATTAATTTTTATGTATAATAATTCAAGAGATCCACCCAATAGAATTCTTCTTCTAATTCTAAATTAATTACCTTCATCTTTACCTTTGGACAATTAATTTATCCACCAAAAATTCAATTAGTTTGGAGACATTAATAAGATTCTTATATTTGAAAGAGGAAAAACAAATAAAGCCTTTGTTGAATTTCATGAGTTGAAAAGTGCAATTTAAGCTAGAAGATAATTAAATGGTTTTAATATCTAAGGAGGAAAGTAATTAGATTTTAGTAATTGTATTAGAATGATTATCCATTTTTCTCGACTTAAAAATCTTAATCTCGAAATAGTGGATAATTCAAGGGGAACTGATTATACATAGGCTAGTAGTACAAGTTAGAATTCTGATTCTATCCTTAACTCAAGAACGGACGAAAATATTTAGCTTGATTTAACTAATCATATTAGTTAAACATAATCACCAAGAGCCAATTCTAGCCCTATTAGAAATGAATAAATCACTCGTTTATTAGAATCAGATGATGAAGATGATCTAACCATCTGGAAATAAGCGATTCCTTAGAATATCTCAGAATTTCATCCAGATATATAAAAATTACTTCAATAAAGATAATCAAGATTACTAAGAATCATAAACTTTGATTAAAAAATTATAGCCAAAATGATTTATAATGTCTTTTCTAAATTTGGTAATATAGAAGAAATTCTTTATGAAAAATCCTCATTAACAGCCTTCATTAAATATTAAACAGTAAATTAAGCAATAATTGCAAAAGAATATCTCAATAATATTTAATTTTTTGATTCATAAGTAATTATACTACATTAATAATTTAGATACGTATTTTTTTTGAACCTCTCTAATACCTCTAACCCACTTCTTTTTAAGACGAGTATATGATTTATTATCATGAAAGTCAATAATATAACTGTAGTCCACTCTCTACAAATCTCTTGATCACAGGTGTTTAAGATTCTTCTGAAATCTCTGAGCAAATCTAAATGTTTGCCAAACCTAAAGGTATTCTACAATCTATAATTAAATAGAAATCAAAATAGGATTAAATAGTATTCATTTGACAATGTTTTCTAAAGCAGATGCACTCAAAATTATAGCTGTATTTTCTGATTTTGAATTTGAAAATTAGAAAATAAATATCATTCTTAAATAATGATATCTTTATTATTATCATCAAATATAAATAAATCAATGATAGATCAATTTATAATCACTTTTATTATTTTTTTATTTTTTCCCTCTAGTAGGAAACAATCGAATTTAAAAGACTCTTTTTTTTTAGTGCTTATATGCCTTGTATTTCTTATATTCTTTTTTTCACTTAATTAGTTATTTTATTTGATTATTGTTTTTCATTTTAAAATGAAAAATCATTCAACATTTAAGAATTCTAACTTTCTCTTTTCAATTCAACTGAATAATTTAAACAATTCAACTATTATTGCTGTTAAAGAAGCTTTTTCTTTGTCGCTTGTAGAGAATCTTAGTGTTTTTCAATGTCAAGTTTAATATTTGATTTTAATATTGATTAATCTTAATTTTCAAGTAAAGCTTTTACTTTTAAACATTATTTTTCATTCATAATTATTAATTATTGACTATTTTAATTCTAAGTTTTTGGAATTTAATCATACCTTAAGTTAATTTTTGGTTAATTTTTTTCGTAACTAGAAATTGATCTTTTTTCTCTATCTACATATTAAATTTGTAAATTTTTATTCCTATCTACACTACTTTATTTATTATTTAATTAATATTCTTATAAAAAATGATCCTCTTCATCATCAACTAAGTTTTTAACCAAATCTGAAGCTACAGGTAAATTGTTTAAACTTTCCCATGTTAAATGTGATTTTTTTTATTCTAAAACTTTTAAAGATTTTATTTTTGATCTATTCATGTAAGAACATGTTGTTGGTTTAGATGGATTTGGTAACTTTTCAATAAGATTAATCATGTTTGGATATTTTTAAATTAATTATGATTTTGTTGAGTGTTTGAGCTCAAATTATAATTTATAAAATGCTTTTCTTTCTCTTTCTTATTATTTTAAATATTCGCTTTATTCCTTCCTTTGTTACAGTATTTATTTGATTTATTCATCATCCTTAACATTAGGATGAAATATCTTATATTCATACTTAACTTCTTTTATTCTCTCTTCTTTATCTCTCATTTGAAAAGGTTTTTAAAATGATTTCATTTTTTATTAACATAGTTTCCAATTATCTAAACCTACATTTACGATAAATTGTTCTTAATCTTAACCTTGCTCAATCGCAACCATATTTAACAGCTGAATAAATGATTCATAATTCAATTCTTTTTAGTTTTTAGCATATTTCTTAAATAGTTCTAAAATTCTATGATTTTTTGCTTTAATTTAGAAATCTTTACAAAAATGCATCCATTTTCCAACTGTAAATATTGAAGCTTCATATTATTGCCTTTCAAAAGTAGCATGCTATCCTTGCACATATTGCTGTTTACAATAGAAATCAAAAACTTTGGCAATAACTTCTTTATTTTAAATATTCATTTTATTTATCAAATTATCCTTTCGATTTATTCATTTATTTTTTATAAATATAAGTTTTAAATGAATCAGATAAATTAAATAATTATCAATTAAATATAAATTTTTATACTTCTTATATATTACAATCTTTAACGCTTTATTCTACAATTTTGACAATAAGATAATCATTTATATCAAATTAATTCTCTTAGAACTAAGTAAATAAAATTATAATCTACTCTTATTCAATCATTTGTATTCTCTTTTTTTTTCTTAAACTGCTTTCTTGATTTTTTTATTTTTTCTCTATTATGATAAATTAAAAAGTTACATTTCCCTTGATAACAACATTTCGAAATCAGGAGCTTTATATGCTTTCTCTTTATCTTATTTATTCAACACTATCAAAATTAGAATTTTTGATCTCTAAAATGGAATCGAAATTAAAATGTTATATAAAATAGCTGCTGTTGCTTCAATTTATGAAGTCTCAGATGAATCAGTAACTAACATTATTTTCTTTGCTTCTTATATTTTATTCAAAAACTATTCTTTTTGATAATTATTCCCTGGTACATCTACAACTATCTCAATCTAATTATTTGGCTTTACTAATTATGTTTGATTAGGTTCTATTGAATTAGTTGGATTTATTGAAGAATTTTAGTTCGATAACTTATATAAATAAAAACAATACGTAATACAACAGGGAAGTGCTTTACCTGCATTTTTATCTCCAACAATAAAAATTATTGAGTTATCTGCATTAATTTTCTAAGCTCCAGATTTTCTTTTGGATAATATTAAAGATGCAGTAGCATAAAATACATTTAATAATTAATACACATGGTTATAATGTTTTAAAATACTTAATGAGAAAATTAACATCGAATATTGGTTTATTTATTGCAGTATATTGAACTAAATTATCACTAACTTTTGAAGAATGGATTTATTTCAACAACAGAGATTTTATTAGCAATTAAAAACATCATAATTTAACATCTCTAACTTATGTTCATAAGAATTTTAGTAAGTATTTATAAATTTCTAAATATATAAAAGGATATTAATTCATAGGAAGTTATTGAATTATAATCAAACAAATATATATATTATTTAATTTATATTAGAGAGAAAAATCTCTCTAATATTCAACATAATAATGATGCATAATTGTTGATTATAATTGCTTTATTGTCTTCTTATAATCATTTGTTTTATATTCATATTTTAATAAGTATTTCTTTAATTTGAAATACTTTGATTATTGATATAAAATAGATAGTTAACTTGATCTTAATGAATTAACTACGGATAGCTATATAAAACTATTCCTAGTTGATTCATAAAGATTAATTATTAATCTTAAGGATTTCAATAATAAGAGCTACGACTGATCGATAATTTAAATAGTTAGTTAATCTTTTAGATTTATTTCTTTTTCTATCCTTTCTTTTTTGATTTCTTGCTTTTAATTTAATTTATTATTCCTTCCAAATAATTAGTTCATTTTTATGTATATTACTTTAATTAACTAATATAATAAGTACAGAAATAGAATTTTTGACAAAAAAAATAGTTACTACATTTTTAGTTCATATGAAGAGAACTTTATGGAAAATTAGATTAATTTAAAACATAAGCAGCTAATTTAATTCATTTTTGCCGATTAAGAGCATAGGAATGTCTATATAAAAGCTTCTAATATAAATAAAAATTTTGATAAAACACGGATAATAGTAAATATACATTTAAAAGAAATAAATTCCAAAGCAAATTAATATGTGGATATAAAGCTTTCTCACTTTGATTACTCCAACTTAAAAAACTTGTAATATTTGGAAAAAAAAAAGAATCTTATTTTGTACCCTAAGTATATAAATATATGAATATAAAAATAAAAAATATATGTATTAATACTTTAGAAGAAAAAATAATAGAAGCTTTTTTGGTATAAAAAAGAAAAAATTAGTTTAAGGTTGTTTTTTAGCTTAAAGACTCAGAGAAAGAATTAAATACCTTTAAATCTGTAGTTATTTATAATATTTGATTAGCATGTTAAAAAAGAAATGACTCCTTGCTTTTAGTGGAATTTACAAATGATATGCTAATGAATTAAGAATATATTGCATTTATTGAATTCAATCCAATAGTTAATGCTTTTTAATGATGATGATCATTTTGATTTAATATTGAATAATGATTAAAGCTGTTGAATAAGATAAAAGAGGTATTTGTTGACGAAAATATATATAACTGAGCTAGCTATGCATTAATATGCAATAAATTGAATCATATTTTAATATAAAATGAATTTTACCAAAAGAGTAAAGAGTGTTGAAAAATAGTTCAAAAACATTCAATATTAAATATGCTTCTCTGCTCATAAATATGGTTTATTAATATATAGTTTCAATTTTATTAATTTGGAGGCAATTTATTATTAAATATTAAAGTTTTATAGGATGAATTCATCTTTTGTTAATAAAATGGAAGCAGCTATGATTTATTTATACTAGATATTAGCATCTTAATCAGAAGTATAGTTATCCCAAAAATATACATAAGAAACTAATAAATTCACAACAATAATAGTTTTCGAAAGATATATTTCTGATACAAAAACAATATTTTTATATGGTTATGATTCCAATTCATAAATTATTATTAAACAACAACATTATAAATTAGATGAGTTAGTTACTAACCTAAATTATTATTTAATGACAGTTAAGGATTTTTTATAGTAGATCCTTATTCAAAATTAAGAAATTTGTATTCATTTTATAAATTATGCCTCTGTAATAGAAACTGAGAATCTTTAAATAAAATAAGAAGCTTATAAATTAATAGAATTGCCTTTCCCTAAAAGCAAAATCATACTTTGGATGGAAAACAAAAAAGCTCTTCAATTTCCAAATGATTACCTTTAAATTTAAATTTCCTTCAATTAATTGGCATTACTAAAAATTGAGCGTAATTTAATCTAGAATTTAGAAATCTATGAATAGTTCACTATTAAATAAATTACTTAAATCCAAGAAATTCACAAATAATTTTTGTAACGATTAACACTTTGTGAATAACAAGTAGAGACTTTTAATTTTTTAAGTTTAATTAAAGATATTACTTTAATATAAGACATACCAGAAGAAATAGAATATTTAGCATAATTTTTAATGAATTTACCTCAATATACTTGTTAAGAAACAGTCATAATGATAGCAAAACTTAAATTGTATAAATAAAATGTAATACAAAAGAAAACAGTTAATTAATAAAAATTAAAAATTAATGAATACATAGAAATAACAAAAACTGATATAAATCTATTTAAAGAGGAAAAAAATTGTCATTTCCCAAAAAGAGGAGAGAATAGTTAAAAGTAATTTTTTTAAATCAACTTTTTATAGATGTAAAGTCTGCTAAAAAAATGGTAGAAAAGTTCGAAAATCAAGTTTTGTTTGTGAAGCCTGCTAAAAACATTACAAATTAAATGTGACACTTTGTACAACAAAATGTTTTAAATTGTTTCATTTAAATCCAGCAAAATATCTACGAAGAAAAAGTAGAGCAAAAAAAACAAAAATAGAAGAATGATAGAATTTTCTATATTTATTCATTATTAAATTATTTTTATGATATTTCCTTAAATTAGATGACTAAATTATTTTGCAATTATTTTTTCAATAAATCTGATCATAGTATTTCAGGAAAATAAATATTAGTAGCCATTTTATGATTATAAATTATTTTAAATAATTATGATAATTCTGATTATTAAAAAAATATGTATAGGGAAACCTTAATATAGAGAGAACATATAATAATATAATTAATGATTATTTATTGAAAATAAATTTTAAAATATAATTTTTTCTTGTTGAACTAAAAAATACTATATCACCACATATAAAACATTAATTTAATAATGATCAAAATAAATAGAGAAATTCCTGATTTGATTAAAGCTGACTTAATTGTTATAGATTCTATCAATTTTTGAAATAATTTAAGGCAATACATAAAAAGTATGCAATAGCAAAGTTTTATTAGAATATCATAGGCATAGAATCCAATAATCATAGATAACACAAATAGTATATAAAGTAACATTAAATAAGTGACCATTGAAGGTTTTGTGACTTAAATATATGAATAAGATTACTAAATAACATGAAATCACTAAATAAAATAATATCTATAAATGAGGATAAAGCTATAATGACAATTGATATTGGAATTCTTTCTTAAACACCAACAAGGTAGCCAAGACTTAATTTTAAAATTGCTACTTCACTTAAGACAATGTAAAGTTTTGTAGTGATCTAATTATCTATCTTATTTTGGGTATGTTATGTGAATGAAAAATCTTTGATGGTTTGAGTTCTCACAGTTTTAAATTAAGGAGGTTCATTTTATTAATCAGAAACCTTGCCTAAATGTCTAGCTCCAGCTAATTATTTATTACTATATTCTGATTAGTAAATTTTATTTTATTTACTATCTAGAGTCTAAAATAACTAAAAATATTACAAATTATAATTTGTTTAATAAATCTGATTAATTGGATTTATTATTACTATTCTTAACTTCATCACTATATTTATTTAATTCAATTTGATTTTGATTTCTATAATAACTCTCAATCTGCAATATTTCTTCATTTTTTTCAGAAACATATTCAGAGATAAGCTTAGGTTACAAAATTGGAGGAGGGGGGGGAGGGACATTATTACTTAAACCAAGTTAAGTTGTTTATGTTTCTTCTATATCTTTATTGTATATTTCTTAGAGTTCTTTAGCAATGAATAACAATGGAATCCAAAATAAAATTTGATATTGTAATACAAATTCATTATTAAGATATGCAGTAACAGATTGTTTTTATTCATAAGGTAGTTGATCAATTTATCTAATAAGTCTTGAATAATTATGATCTTTTAGGTATTTATGATGTTATAATTCTAGAGCATTAAAAAATAATAAGGGGATGACAAGTACAAAAGCAGAGTGAAATAGAAATCTTCTAATGAAGTTACAAAGTATTTCAATAAATCTTTCATATTTCATGATCTTCGCATTGTAGACAAAATATGTAATCCAAGTAAATGCCAAACTTACAATTAAGTTTATAATATAAATCATTTTATATAATGAATATTCAAAATTACTCAACCAAAGATGACAAAAAGAAAACCTTGTTAAAACCACGAATACGAGCCTCTAGTAAGGAAGCGACATAATAGCTTACTTAACCAAGAATTGCAGTTTAAAATCCTACTGTTTATAGAAATACAACTGCTGATAAACATAGAAAACACTCGATTGATAATAAAAAGTAAGTTAAGCCTAAAAAGAAGAAAAAGACTTAAAAGAAAATTTAGTGTATTGATAAATATTAATAATTATAGAGTTGGATAATGAAGAAGAGTAAAGATTATTAGAAGAAGAATAGAAGAGGCTTAAAGATTTAGAAGAGTTTCAAAGATAATAATGGGAAAAAATGAGTAAAGAAGAACAAGATAGATTAAGAAGTGAAGAAAATGATAGAGTTTAAATAGAAATCATATGGGATAAAGAAATACATGAACATAAAAAAAAATGTCTAGAATTTGATGAATGGAATAATTATATTTCATGTAATACCTAAATAGATCCAAGAATAGAAAAAGATTTAAATACATTTATTTATCAATTATCTAGCAATAACAATGATATTTAATTAAATTACAAATAGATAGAATACATTTCTAAAATCATTTTCATTATTTAAATAGCTCATTAAGAAGATCTAAGCTAATCAATATTTGTTAAACAAGATCATTATTTTAGATACATTGAAAAGCTAAAATTAATTTAGAGCGAGAAAATTTATGAAATCATAAAACACTTTTATACAAATTATGAAGATTATTTGGATGAATTAAATCACATCTGTATTAATATATACCCTATATAAAGTGAAACATTAATACTTTTTGTTAGAATTTAACTAAGAAACATAATAGAGGATATTATAAAAAATAGCCTAAAAGCCAGAGGATAGACTAAAATATGAAATATTGAAATATTCAGAATTTAGCAATTCATTTAAAGCTGCATTTTGGTATTGTCCATTATCAAAAATTGGGTATAGAATAAAGCCTATTGATTTTTCTTAAATATCCAATCTTTAATTAGAAATTCCAAGACAATTAGCAGGATCAAGCTTAATTTATTATATTACATGGACAAATTATGATCCTTTTATAAAATATAAATAATATACACAATATTTACCAATAGGTGGTATATTTTAAAATATTTGTGTAAATGTGCCAAAATTATCAAAGAAAAAAAATGGCTGGATTCTAAAGCCTACATTTACTGATTCATAATTATAACCATTAAAACTAGCTTAAGGATTTTAGTCATATAGTTGCTACTTTTAAATATCAAATCAATACTATTTATAAGATGCTACTAAATTTTTTATAGTAACTTTTTAAAATGGAAATTGGACTCAAGAAGGAATAGAAGATTTGAAAGTAAATATTGAAACTCGTTGTGTATCATTTTCTTTGAAAAATTAATATCCTTTTATGTTGTCCACATTTAGATTTGCTGATTTTCCATTTAAAACCTGGAAAATAACTTCACTTTCTCCTGATAAAGTGTATATAAATATCATAAGTAAATATTAATCTAATTTAAATATAGCCTAAAGAAATATTAATATTGGAATTGAATTAGACAGCAAACAATCCAAACTAATAAAACCTGCAAGTCTAGCTGAATAACAATTCTAATAACCGTTACCAATTATAGAATTGCTATTAAAATTAAGGAATATTGGAATTAATTTGATTGCTTAAGAAGAAGATGCAATTTGTTTATAGACTGTATTTAAAAGATAAGAAGTTGAAAATTAAGTTTTGTTAAATTTAATGTAAACATTAAGAGGTATATTTATCAATACATTTTAGTTTACTCTTTCAAATAATCTAAATGGAATTAAAAATGTGGATCAGATTAAATAATTATATAATTTGTGGAAAATCCTATTTTTGATAAAGATTTTGAAGGGGATGATGAATTTTAATGGAGAAATTTAGAGTTTCAATTAAATAAAGTAGCTCTTTTGGAATGTAATGATAAGAGTGAAAAATTTACAACAAAATGGTATAAAAATACAGTTAGTCATGCAAATTTATTAATCTTAATTTAATAACATTAAATAACTCCACCAGAATTATAGTTTTATATAGAAGAAATTTAGAATGTTGAATTAAGATCCAATTTGAGAACTATGATGAAGGTTATGAGATTATTAGCAATTAATTGATAAATTATAAAATATTATATAATGTAAAATAGTGTTATTTAATAACTTCATAAATTTTTGAGAGTGTCAATTAATTCACTTAATTATAATTCAACTTCACTTTTTATGTAGCTGTTTTTGTATTTGCAATCTAATTAAAAGAGTTATTTTTTGATGGAATTAGAGAGATAGTTTGAATTCGAATTTATAAAATTGATTAATATAAATTAAGAAAACAATGGGAAGCAATTGTGCAACCTGTTAAAATTGTTAGAAGAAGGAGGAGATTCTAATTAGTGAAGTACAACAATAATCAAACCCATAAATGAACTAATATTCATAATAGCCAAATGAGGAAGAAGAGGAGGATCGTAAATTGATTTAACAATATATTTAGATTTGGAAGAGAAGAACAATGAAGGTTCTAGTTAGATTGTTTAATAATATTTGAATTTAGATACACCTTAGAAAAATGATGCTATTGTATGTGTAGAAGTAACTAGAGTATAACCAGTGGAAACTCCATAAGTTCAAGTGATAATGACTAATGGTATTTATGAAAAAGATTGTAAAATAAGAGTCAAATTGTGATAGTAAGAAGAGAAAGAATGAATTGCTGTTAAGAAATTAGGAAGATTTGAAAGATACTTAGATTATTAAGAGTGAGAATACAGTAAGAGAAAGGAGACCTCGTCATTAATTTAAAGTAGAAAAGTGTTGAAAATATTAACTTAATAGAGTGGAGCATATTATGAAGGTGAATGGGTTGGTTAGAATAGAGATGGATTAGGAGTTCAAATTTGGAGTGATGGAGCAAAATATGAAGGCGAATGGAAAAATAATAGAGCTAACGGAAAAGGGAAATTTTGGCATATAGATGGAGATTATTTTGAAGGAGATTGGAAAGATGATAAAGCATGTGGAAAAGGTGTTTATATTCATACAAATGGAGCAAAATATGAAGGTGATTGGTTAGATGATTTATAACATGGGTTTGGAGTAGAGAGTTGGACTGACGAAGCAAGATTTGAAGGATTATATTAACATGGTAAAAAAGAAGGATTTGGTAAATATTATTGGAGTGATGGATCTATATATATTGGAAATTGGAGTGAAAATAAACTATGTGGTTATGGTATATATACTTGGCCAGATGGAAGGGTAACAAGAATAAATTAATATAGAGATATGAAGGATAATGGGTGAATAATTAAATGAGTGGAAGAGGGATCTATTATTGGAAGGATGGAAGAAAATATGAAGGATAATATATTAACGATAAGAAACATGGATATGGTATATATACATGGCCAGATGGAAGAGTATTATTATTATATGTAGATATTAGAAATATGAAGGATATTGGTCTAATGGAAAATAGTAAGGTAAAGGTAGATACATATTACCTAATGGAAAGTGTTAATTAGGAATGTGGGATAATGGTAGAAGAATTAAATGGTTGGATTAAGGTGAATAAAATATTGATCTCAAACCTAAAGATTGGAATTCTTATGTTTAACCATCTTTAGGAGAAACATAATTATGATTATTTTACTAATTAAGTAACTTAATAAATATTTTATCACATCATTACAGTGTTTCTTCTAATTTAGAAAATCCCAATGTTTCATGAAATTAGGATGCATATTATATTATTTATTCAACACATAAGTGATCTGAATGTTTTGATCTATCAAAGACATCTTAGCATTATGAAAGCTAAGTGATGAATTAACCAATCTACTCTTAATCTAACTTTAGTAGATGAAATTGAAAGTGTTTTAGTAATCCTAGAGATAGGGAAATTATTGCCAAAATATTATTGGCTATCATGAAATCGAAAAAGTATAACACCACTTCAAAAGGGAATGTTTGCAGAAATAGTGAAAATATCCATTTCCATATGTAACAATATTAAGTGATATCTTGACTTTCAAAATGATGATACAATTATGGCATTTGACTTTTGAAATGCTTATGGAATATGTTTAATAATTTAGTGACAAATTCAAATTGATTCTCTTAATCTAATAACTAAATTACTTTATACTCTATGAATCATTCGTTTGATATAATTAAAGAAATTTGAATTACGGATTTATGTTCAAGTAATTTATCATCCAAAACACTTCCTCTTCATCCATCCCACTTACTAATAATAAGAACCCAGCCACTTAATTCATGCCTGTTACATAATCATTATTATAGATAGAAATAGCTTTTAGAACATTTTAGAGCGCTTAAGATTTTTTATTAAATTCTTAATGACCTGGTAATGTTCTAGGTAAATCTTTTTCAATATCACTATCAAATTGATTCTAAGAACTCTTTAACAAACTCTCATAACACCCAGATTCAAATATGTTTTCTACAAATAAGGATACTTTCCATAATGGCCATCTATTGGAAGATAGTGCTCCATTCATTAGATACTTTCTAAATCTGATTGGATCACTCTATTTGAATTTAAGAGCTGCAGTAAAGTCTTTAATTTCAAATTAATTCCATTGATGTTACAAATATTTTAACTAAGGATTACTATTTTCAATAGCTTCCTGAAACTTAGTTCCCACAAGATTGTTATATTTAGATCTAATTTAAATTTAATTGGTCTTTCCAATTTAGCATCCCATATATATTTATCAATTATAAAATAATTAATAATAATATTCAATAAATCACAATAGGTCTTCCATTATGGAGATATGTTTTTGATTCAATATTATGAGTATTTTGCATGTCTATTTTGACAATATTTCTATGTTGAATTTTCATTGGTTATGGATTAGTAAGGTTTTACACTTCTTGAGACAATTAAAATAAATTTAGTATTAGATACAACTAAGAATTAAATTGATAATTACTCTCACAATTAGACTGATAATTACTAAAACTGAGATCATTTTTTAGATAGAGATTTCATAAGGTATAAAAATCTCATGAGAATCATTAGCAAGCCATTTAAAACCAATACAAAAGATCCAAACTATATCTAAAAAACAACTCATTCCAAACAAGATGCCTAGAGTCTTAATACGATTCTCATTTAAAGCATTGAATTCCCAAAGAATATAGAAGTCTATAATTAAGAGTAACTAATAATAGTAACACTCTCCTTACATCAAAAAATTGAGCTTTGTAAAATAATATCAGTAGAGTAAGACAAGCTATGAGACCAATCAATATAGTAATTAATTTGAATTTGTTATTTTTATCTAACAATGGATCAGAGAATGGTTTAACAATTTTTGTTGGATCTGCTTATTAATATGAAATTGGAATCATAGATTATGTAGGGTCCTTAGAAATAGGTTTCTAAAATCCTTTTGTATTTAATTATCTCCACTTTACAAATGGTTCATAAAGAATAAAAAGATCTCTTTCATATTAAAGTAATTCTTATTCCTATTAATATACTTATTATTGATAAGAGTTTAATACATCTCTAAGATATCTGACCTTAGAATAAACCCATTAAATTTGAATATTCAATTATGATCCACTTCTATTTCCATTTATATCATATAAATCAAGCCAAATATCATGTAATTATTAATTTTTCAAATTAAATCCATTATTAGATAAATTTAAATCAACTCTTGCAATTACTATATTAGGAGTGTATTTATCAAAATCACAAACTGTTAATTTTAAATCTTCTTTACCAGTCTATACTGGAAAATAAAACTTCTAATTCTCTTTCCAAACTGGATTTGTACCTTTACTTATTATTGTTTGCTTTTCAAATTTATCAAATTACAAAGTAACAAATGGATCTAATTATTTACCATCTGCTTTAAGATTAGCAGCTTGAACCACAATAACACATAATTGACTGCCTTCCATAACACCAAAATTATTCAATTTCTCATTTTACTAACAATAATCCAAATTAGTTTCTGTTTCTCTTTTCTGTTAATAGTTTAATTCTAAAGTAGTTCGGCAATTGTTTATTTTACTCTTTAAACTTTCTTCTGCTTTCAAAAGTATTTGAATAAATTCATTAGCTGTTACTTTACCATCATTATTAATATCCAAATTAGCCCACAATTCTTCTGCAATCTCTCGATCAAATTATTTTCCAATCTAATCAACACAGAAATCAAAAAAAATAATACCTTAGAATCTAAAACTTGGAACATCTCATTCTTATCTAATCTACCATCATCATTGATATCTACTTCATTAAATTCTTATTTCAATGAATCATACTTTTATTAGAAAGTTGCCATTAATTATTTATTTATGTAATAATTTATATTTCATAATAATAAATTTAATATCATTTTTTCCATTATGAGATTGTAGTAGTTGTTCTTCTTTTTATAGTTTATTTTTTATTAATTGGAGTTGTACTTGTTTAAGGAGGTTATGGTTATAATCTAACATTTTAAGGTGAAGCAGGCACACTAGTTTACATAGAAGAAGATGTCTTTCTTAAATATTGTCCCATTAAAGATTTCAATTCTTCTTTTAATTTCATATTCTCTTCATTTAATTCTTCAATCTTAACATTCTATGAAAATTTAACTTTCTGACTCTCAAATTCAAGATCTTCCAATTATTATGAGAATTCTTAAG